TGAACATGCACAGACGCTCGGAATATTTCGCGTAAGGCTTACATGATGAACTAGCCCAGCTTTGCCTCCTTAGCTTTGCTCATCTTTGCGAATCACTGTGAATTCACGACGCTGGTTTCTTCTTGTACCGTCACACTAAAAATGTTCAGTGGAATACTTACCACAAACCATACTTACCTATCCGAGGGCGGGAGAAGTGGAATAAGATTGCAGCTCGGCTTACTGGCTCTTATTTTTGCACGCCAGGTGAAACGGAGGGAAAAAACTCGTGCAACTGCAATAAAATGTCATTCAAGGGGGCAGACCTGAAAATTTCAGCTCGGATTGATATCCGCCGTGGAGTCGGCCTCTTAAACATTAAATTAAAATTTAATAGGCAAAATGTCCGATTACATGCACAAATTTAATCAATAGACTTGTATTGTTGGGCTCCAACTTTGAACAGAGACGGCGATTACGAGCTATCCGCGATCTTCACGTGCGGTTTGTCAAGTGATTCAGGGTATAAGTCACATAACAAAACGTAAAACTCCATCACCGTTTCGAATCGAAAGCTTGTGTATGCTTATAACATTTTCTATCCTGGGATTTAAAACCTCGTTTACTTTAAACACCTTTCCATTGTTTAAGAACAAGTCATTTAGGAACAGGCAATTCAAGCTTTTGACAATGACCGTTTTTCTCCATAATTAAACATGATATGATTATCTACTCTTATCTCAACATTATCTTTTACTTTAGGCAATGTCTTATCAGGACAACTATACTTCAGACGTAACAGGAACACTTCCTTATCAACGATGCCTCATTCCTGGCCTTCCAGAAGATACGCAGCACACAATATATGATGTAACAAACTTTATTTTCGTTCCTATAGTTATGCTCTTGGCTTTTCTTTCATTCACAAGTAACTTCCTTGTAATGGCGGCTCTGATACGAGTAAAATCTCTCCGGCATCCTTCACTATTGCTACTGGGCAGTCTTTCAATAACCGACATATTGTTTGCAGTGTATGCCTTTGTTGAGGGTCTTGCAAGATACATGTACGAAGCTTTTTGCCCCGAGGAAAATGGCGATTTGGAACGTGGATTTGTTGTTCTGTGTAACATTTCAACCATGGGTAACCTGGCGTTCATCAGTAAAGACCGGCATTTAGCAGTAAGCAAGCCTTGGTGGTACCGTGCTCATGTGAAGCGATCAAGCGTTCTTAAACAATCGTCAGCTATCTGGTTTTATAGTTTCTTTATGTCAGGAATGATTTTTGCCTCATCGTATTTTACAATCATTCATTTTCCAGTCCTTTCTTTAATTAGCCTGTCCTACATAATATCTATAGTCATTATGATTGCTTCTTATGTTGGAATATTCATCGCAAACAAACGCCACAGGCGCACCATGCAGCAGCACAGGGGCCAGGTGTCTGCCATCTTAGAGCAAGAGAAGAAATTGGCCAACACTGTAGGTTTGATCGTAATCACACTCTTTTTTACTGTCTTACCAGGACTTATTCTACCTGTAGTTCTAAAACTTCTGGGACTTTCACCCACTGAAAATATCCCTTTTGGTCCTTTTTTTAGTTTTTTACTGACTCTAAATGGATTTTTGAATCCGTTGTTAAACTATGGCAGAAATGAAGGTGTACGCAGAGCAGTGCGAGGCTTAATCGGATGCTCCTGCATTGCAACTGATAGAGTTCATCCTTCCACCAATAATGGCCGCAATCAAGGAAGTGGGACAGTTAATCCTACTTCCAATATTGCGCAGAATGCTAATAATATGCAAGAGTTAATTGGGCAGCCTTCGTCCCAAACTCATGATTAGGAATTATCCTAATGTGGGACCAGGCGCTCGTTTCTCGAAAGTCCCGGCCGGTAACTTTTCGGGCTCGGAAAGCTGGGGACTTTAATTCTTTGCAGGTGATATGGTAAAGCTATCAGGAAACAAAACGCAATGGACCACTTGTATTTGTATTTGTATTTTATTTTTACTCCATCCTATAGATAATACATTAGTTGTATAATATCAATTAGTAGAAGGTTGATTAAACTACGTGTACATAATAAAAAATAAGAAAGTTAGAATGGAGAAGGGCACATTATAGAAAACTAATTATGGCCCTTTAACAAGATTGACTTTATTCTAGTATAGCTTTGTTATTCTTTAAAACACAAACACGCACGCACGCACGCACGCACGCACGCACACACACACACACGCACACATGTCAATATTGAGCAAGATAATATCTTTTAAGTGCCTTTTTGAACAGGATTTTCGATGATTTATTGCGAATAGAAAGGGGGAGATCGTTCCAATAGTGTTTTCCAATGACGGTAGGGCAAAACTTTCGAATATTAATTCTTGAGTGGGGAATGTGTAATTGCTGAGCAGATGCACTTCGTGTAAAATAATTATGCTGCTCAGATACAAGAAATAATGGAAAATTACACGACTTATTATTATCAGAGACATAATCATATAAGAACAAACAATTGTAAATTTTAACAATATCACGAAATTTTGATAAACCTAGATGAACATAATGAGGAGTGAAATGATCTCGTAAAGGAACTCCAGTCATTAATTACTCTAACTGCTTTATTTTGTCGACGTATGAGCTGTGATAATGGATTATCATAATTATTTCCCCACAATAAGCAACCATGTATGAAACAGACCACTTTGATAGCTAGAGTCGGCGACACTTTTTCTTTTGGATTTTGATTCAGTAATATAAGGTTTCGGGCTCGAAAGGTTACCGGGATTTGAGAAACGGGGCCCTGGAGACTCCTTATTGGGGATCGGAATAGGGCTGGTCCTGAAGGCGAAGGTCGAGCTGATGGTTAACCTACGAGAGCCCCCACAAAGGAGTTTTTCGGAACGATATGAGACACAACCTCTTGGCGGTCATCAGCAGCTGTTAATAGACCCTCCCACGGTTTATTTCAATTTATTTTTTTGAGTGGGATCAGTTAGCGACAATCCGTCAACATCACTGGAAACAACGCCTCAAAATCAGCCAAGTTGCCACAATGAATAAGTGATTTATTACAAACGAAGGAACTGCTCCGGCAAACGTCTGCAATTGTACAAAAGTTAAAGTTCGTGCCGCCCTCCCCTAACTCGCGACTTGGTGGGGCAATATCTTCCCTTCGGATTAGAGGAGACTGGTTATGAAAAGCGGCAAACATCAATGATAAAAACAACAGTGCTGTATCAAATTTTAAACAACGTTTTTATTGGTCAATACAATCAAAATGATATTTCTACTTTCAGGTCCACAAAAACATTAACAAAGGAGTCTGACGGGTTTCATAACCATTCCACTCAATTAACTATTTTCAGTGGTGCAAATTTTGATGATGGATATTCGATGACTGGTTTTTATCACAACTTGAAACAAACCATGGAATGGTCTTTTTTTCGGCCTTTCGTACATTCTAACAAAATTTGGTAATGGTCGGTTGCTATGACTTAAGATTTGACGTCGCATAAGTGCAATGGCTCAGGCCATTTTGGAAGAAACGTTTGAGTTTTTCCCACTTTTTTGTCGTTATTATTACACATAAAGAAGTACCGTGGCAGTACAATTGTGGTCTCTTTGTTCGCTGTGATACTCGACCTCCAATGCAAGGTCCTCTTCTTGTCGGGAGAACCCTGGGGAAAAGGTTGTGTGATCCTACGCCACTCAGAGTATACGTGACGAATTTCAATAACCATATGGAATTACACGTACACATAACTTAGAAATTGCGTGCAATAAATTCACTGCTTAAATGTAGATGTTTCAGGACCTATTCTCGAAGAGACTCCCTTTGGTTTAGCTTCCATACACAGCGGCTACCACTAAATCTCCGCATTTCTTGGGTCGTGGTCGCTTATCCGGGAAGGTTCGACCTAGCCAATTTCAATGTGGACGGCACGTATAGCCCTATTGTTTGATTTTTTTTTTTTTTTTTGGGGGGGGGGGGACTATAATTCTTTTTTGTACTTCCATGCAGAAGCATATAAATTCTCTACTTCTGATCCAAAACTCAATAGTTCACACTGAGCCGTTTTATCAGTTGTTTTGTGTTTGAATTTGTTAACAGATCGTAGGGGAATGATATAAGTGTTGTCATCTACGCCCCAAGGGTGCGTGCAATCATTTATTGCAAAGTTTTCGTTCAAAAAACATTTTCCTCAACAAGTTGTTTCTGGTGGATTGTAAACTGAATAAACCTTTTTTAAGTTACCATAATGTTTTTTGCAACAATTCAATAAGAATTAACTGCCACGTTGATTATGTTAATAAAAAATTAGTTCATGCTTCAGCTGGGCGTATATCGAGATAAGAAGTGTTTGGAAAGCATTCAAGTGGCTAGAGTTGCTGCCTTCTCTTTGGTGCTCTCCAAACATCCCTCGTCCTCTTTATTTCTCAAAATAACGCACTTTGACGCATGAAACAATCGTTATGGTAAACACTGATATGTATGTCGAGTGCTTTAACGGGCTGCTGGACGCACGCACAGGCTGCCTACTCTCACGATTAAGCGAAAAGTGCCTAGAGAACTCGCTTGCTGCGAGGCTATTGCTTACTCTCTTTCCCTCCCATCTAATTTCATCTTCACTAAACCTAATGTAATTATATAAAGCTTTATTCATACTTAAAAGCCGAGTTAAAGTGTTCTGGGTGTACTGGATGGGTATTAGCTATCAGTTTGTAAATCTAAAGTGTAGATTAATCTGTTCAGTCTAATAATTAAATCTTACAGGCACAAGCCCAGTAAACGTTTTAGCTCAGTAACGAATATTTTTCCCTAACAGACTATTATTGGAAAACATGCTGGCTAACTAATTATTCTAAGCGATGCTGTCACATTAAAAGAAACCTGCTTCGTAATAAAAGTCGCGGAAGAGATCTGATTCTCGAATGGTGTGTCAGTCTCTACACCTGCTACCCTAATCTTAGGCAAAGACACATGCAGACTGTTTAAGCCATTTGGAAATGCAAGTTGATATTAATTTTTAAACTTCGGCTCGAGCTCGCTAATGCGCAATCGCAAACTATCGTTTTCTTCTTTTACAATTTGTATTTCCTCTTTTGTCTTGTTACAAAGCTTTGTTTCATTGCTTATTTTCTCTTGCAAAGTTCGAAGATCCTCGTGTAATTTGTGTATTTTAATTTGGTTCAATGCCTCCATTTCCTGGGCAAATTCCAAGCGTGTTGTTTCGCTATTTTTTCTCTCTTCCTTTAATCTTTCACTCAGTTTGTGCCAACGACTTTTCTCTGCCCCTAACTCCGCCTTAAGTGTTCTAGCTTTTGCTTCTTTAACTCTTAGCTCCTCAGCGAAAGTTTTTGTAGCTTTTTCTAACTTTTCATTTTTCTTCCTCTCATCCTGAAGGTCGTTTATCTTGATTTCAAGACGCGTGATCGTCATTTTAAGAACTGAGAAGCTAGCCCGCAGGATTGGATCTTCAACGCACTTGTCAAACATTAGTTTTTCTCCTTCTTCCAAGCCGACAAACCTAAGCTTTCTAATTTCTTCTTTCAAAAATTGTAAAAGAGTTTTCACGATTTTCTTTTCAACATCGTTACCGTCCGGAAAATCACCAAACACAGGAGTCTTAAAATCTCTGCACAAGACAACCAGGTTTCTAACTGTATTGTAAGTTGAAATTAGATGTTGAATACGCATCAAATTAGTTATTCCATCTCTTTCTAATTGTCTCTCCTGAAGTTTAGTATATTGTCCAGCTTCTGTTGTTTGGTTTCTGAATGGAGAGTTGTCAACCAAGGGGTTTGTTTGTGGTTTGTTTCCGTTGAAAGCTTCTTCAGGTGGGGCACTTGAGCTCATCGAACCAATGAACTGAAAATTATGTAATTGACCAGTTGTCGTAGTGTCATTATTGCCAATTGGACTTTGCCAAGTTTTCCCATTTGTTTTCTGTATTTCATTGCTGAATCGCGTCTGTGGGCAAGGGTTTTGAAATTGCCATGGAATACCAAACTGTATCGTCTGAGATGGCAGCTGCTTATTTCCAAAAAATTGAGGGTTTCTCCCTGTGAAAGGTGGGTTTCTCAAAAATCTTGACTCGGCACCTCCATGCTGGAGAGTTTCTCCGAACTGCCATTGTCCCGGATGCAATGTGGCGTATGGGGAATTTCCAGGATATTGTGCTGTATATTGATTAGCTCCTGAGTGATTGATGGGAAAATGAGTCATTCTCGGATGCTGCGTTAAAAAAGGATTGGGTCCCGGATGTCGCGAGTAACATTGATTGGTTCCTGGATAATGAGCTCGCAGCGGATGATGAGTTCCGTAAGGTCGAGTTTGCCTTTCGGGGATCCCCTGATGTGTGCGCTCCGTAACATTGTTTGTTAAGTGGATATTGAAATATCCTTGCTGCTGAAACGCCGACATGAATGGCTCCTTGTTCGTGTTGCCTACGAAGAAGGCAAAATCAATTAGAGCCTCAAGAAAGTACACGGAATGCTATTGATTTTCTGTATCTTACTTTGTAGTTCAGCTTTCGCTGCGAATGAACTCAGCTGGTTAAATCATGTCTATGCTGTTCTTTAAAAAAATTCAGTGCGATCATAACATACCTTCAGTACGTGAACTCAGTCTCTAGAGTAGTCACCACAGCTTTAACTTCGATGCCTCGGAGGGAAGCAATTTCACTGTAAGGTTTTGATTCAGTGGAGTTAAGTTTGACTGCTTTCTTTCAAAACTTCGCGCGTGTGTCGCCATGACTGAGAATTCAAATTGAGCTGGCGAGTTAAACGGTTCTTTTCTGGGCGCGCGCAAATCTCTACTTCATTTGCTTCGCTAATTTACAACCACGCAGTGCGCATGCCAGACGGACAGATTTCCTGTTTTGTCACGAAGTTTCCCTTTATATTTTCAAGGCTTTTAATTACATAAAGGATCCTTATGTAATTCTTCTCCGCAAACGCTAGCGGGGAGGCAAAGAAGGAGAGAGGAAAAGAGTAGGCAACTCTTTTTCACTCCGTCCCCACTCTCGCTTCAGTCTCGCTCTGTTGCCTGTCTCTTCTTTCCAGTTTCCTCTCTTCTCGAATAAAACCACAGGGTAGTCAGGGTAACCTTGCCTGAATTTTCATTTTTTTAAAAAATCTTACCTCGGAATTCAAAGATTGTTAGTAGGGTGTTTCGATAAAAGTTGACTTGTAAAGAGAGGTTTACACGAGGATAGAGCAACAGTACTTACCGGAAGTAAAAAGAAAAAAAGGGAAACGGAATGAAGCGTTGGGAAGTGAGATGCAACGTTATTTTATTCTACAAGACTGATGGGTTGTAGCGTGAATCTCAACCACCGCCTTAAAATAACAGTTAAATAAATAGCTCTCAGTTAACTGCATCTAAGAAGACCATGACTTACACAAACAAAAGAAAGGTGTTCTCTTAACACACTGTCCTCTACCGTCCTTTCTTTTTTTCCAAAAACTGGACTGGAATTGTCATTGAGCCTTCGATTTTAAGAGTTTACTGTTTTACTTTTGAGTCTGTATACTTTATCATGCGGAATGATGCCAGAGTGAGAATATGTAAGTAAAACCGCTGAGTATTTCTTTGATATCGAAGACGTTCTTCCTTTCATTTTCCAAGTTTGCATTTAATGTTTCTGGCAGTAAAAGGATATTTTAAAGCACTTTCACTCCTCGACCAAGTCATGAGATTTCTAGTTATTTTGACTTTTAAACGGAACAGACGACGAAATCCTACGATTTTACATTCAAATGAAAGCGCTCTGACAAAACTCTTTGAGAAAGGCGCTACTACCTTTAGCCAGAACTAGCAGGCCAAACCAGTCTAGTTGTGAACCGGGGGAACTCTACTATTTATCAGGAAACCGGTCGTTTCGATACTAGACTACAAAACAGCTCGTATGTTTGCCTGGATAAAGAACGTGCGAGAGCGGTCAAACGATAGGCCTGCGGGTGAGCGAGGCTTGCGCGCTTCACGCCTTTGCCAAAAGGCAAAAAAACGGACTGTTCAGCAGTGTATTTCGATACGAACTCAAGCAGTGAAACTGCACAACGATTTCGAACACTAAAGTACAATTTGGGCGTAAAAAGAAAAAATAAATGGGGTGAATATTCTTCGTTCTTTAAGCCAGGTAGGTGAAACTATTTACTCCTCGACCTAATCAACTTCCATCGAAACGACCGGTAAGCATTTATCAGGTCTGTCCAGACAGAGCAGTCTTTTCCTAAATAGTGCACTCAGCGGTGAGGGGTTTTAAGACAAAATTTTCGAAGACAAGGCTTGTTTTTAAACTTCTTTCAATTTCAAAATGACCGGTACGGCTGGCGGCCTGTCAGTTCCAACTTTTGGTAGGCGCTTTTAGATTCACTGGCGAGTCTTCCAAATTCTAAGTTTTGTCAAGTTTAAGCTTAGAGTTCAACAAGGGGTAAACTTATTAGTTCTAGATCTTTGTTCTTATAATTTATTCGGTTTTCTTTGCATCATTATTGACCTCTTCGCCTTCTTCCTTCTTTTCCGTTTCCTTGTGATCTTTTTCCGGATTATCTTCATACCTGAGGAGAAAAAGGGAGATTAGCCGCTTTTTCCAAAAACAGAACTGAAAATCAGCGATACAAGGAACGCATTTCTACGGCTTTAAGAGTTCATCCCTTTAAAAAAAAAGAAAAGTGTAATCATTCACCTTATATGATCTCTCAGGGTTAAAAAGGTAATATCTCAGTGAGCAATTGCATTTAGACTGGTAATAATCAATAACGTATCAGATAAAAGTTGAAAATATGAAAGAACCCGATATCCCGGTATGCCGTACCATGGAAGTACTGCAGAAGAAGTTTTGTACTAATGGACACTTGTTCAAGACCCAAAAGTTAGAAGTTAGACACCGTTTGTGTGTAGTTAGCTGGTCCAATATCGCTTATCTAGCGTAGTTAGTAGAGAAGACTGGTCATGAAAAACCGCAAAAATCAAAGATGAAAACCATAGTGTTGCAGGTCTGGGGCTCCAAGACGGGACACGTTTTTGTTGTTGTTGTTCAAAGATATTTACTGAATAAATTAACGGGCACGTTTCTGTTGGTTAGTTAGTTCAGAAAGTTAGGAATGCTATTCACCATAGTGTACGGTCAAGTCCAGCAACATACCACAAAGGAGCTTCATTACTAATGCGCTTAATAAACTACCATAAACTATCGCTTTTAAGCCCCCATAGGGCCCATCTGCCTGTAAAAACAACAACAACATCAAAAATACATCCGAAAATAAGGCCCCCTATTGCTTGTATTGAAAGGAATTTGATTTATCGTGACGTTTTGAAGCTTAATTAAAAACCAGGAAATGCATAACGTATTTTGATGGCTTGTTTTAAAGCGCTCAATCTATTCCGGTAATGAGTTGACTACGAGTAGTCCCCCATTTTTCCTCAAGGATAGTAGAGCGAGCGAAACGCGAGCGGACGTGAAAGTTACCCAACGCGAGAAAAGGCGACACGCTTTTCTCGCGTGGGGTGATTTTAACGGGCGCTCGCGTTTCGCTCGCTCTACTATCTGAGGAAAAATGGGGGACTACTCGTAGTCTAGGTAACGAGTGGATTGGATATAAGCCCTCCTAAACAACCTCACGAAGATGTATAAGCCCAGAGCTTATAGGCGGGAGTTTATATCATACCTGAAGAATGGATTTAAAGTACTTTCTAGCTTTAACTTACTTAAAGAGCTCTTTAAGCTCTCCTCTGATAAGAGCCAGTGTAATGGGAGTTCCCAGGCATGCAGGCACCAAATACAACAGGGCTGGTTGAGCAGCCTTGAAAGTGTGCATCACCAAAACAGTTACTACCAGGCCAACAAAATAGGCAATGAAACCAGAGTAGAAATACACTCGGCTTGTCTTGTCTTTCTTGCTACTGTCAACAAAGAAAACAGTAACTCAACTAGGGATTTTGCAATTACAGTTGAACTTGACAAAATAGGTTTTAAACAATACAATTCACTAGTTTCAATCCTCATAAAACTGAGTGGGGATAAGTGTGAATACTACGCTACTGTAACCATAAAGATTCCAAGGCTACAATACTTGTAGGAACTCAACTGTGCAGTAGTATGGCGATCCTAATAACCGTTATCAGCTCAGATGAGAAAACCAGGTAAGAGTTTTTAAAAAATATATTTGAGGTCCAAAACGACATTTAAACTTAAAAACAGTGCTGATTGAAAAAATAGGAAAATCTCTTTACCTGTGGTCAAACCGTAACAGAAGTGCAATAAAAATTCCTACAGAGCATCAGAAACAAGAGTTAGTACTTATAAACAATTTACTTATTGCTTACTTTTTATACCATGCCTAACAAAGGTGTACATTTTTGTGTGCAAACTGGTATTTCACACTTGTTTGATTCAAAATGTTCTTTGTTTCCTAGCCCAGATTATTCATAAAAAAAAATATAGCTTAACCCTAGAACGGATTTTACCTACTAGAACATACATTGTAAAAACTCTTTCCAATACATGAAATCTTGAACATTTCTCAAAATGATACTGAAAAGCATGTTAATTTGCTGCTTTCTTTCTTTCTTTAATGCACTTTTTTCTTATTGTTTCCAATTTCCACATACACCTACATGTAGTTTACAGAACTATTTTTTTGGCTTATTATTTTGACTATGAAGCTTAATTAAATTATAGAATAGTGGCTAATATTTAAGTAATATTTTTTAACAACACGTCATTTTATCATTGGTTTACAGTCCTATATTCCTTTAGAGTAGAACTCAATATCATGCATTACCACATCTAAACACATTAAAAGAAAATGAAATGTGAACAAGTGATAGAATAGAACCATAAATTACACTGTAGTACTGTGCACATACAAACATTGACTTGAAAATAATCATATTCACCTGGTATAACAATGTCCCCAAGCCCCAACATAGCAAAGTTGGATGCAGCCAGTCCCTTCTCAAGAAGATCCATTGGAAAAATCACTAAAACGTTATAAGTGAAAATAATTAGATCATTATGTGAAAAAGTAATTAACAAGGTAAAGGTCCTTATTTTACACTGGTAAATAGAGAGAAGTCATTATGTCACATTGCCATGGTAGCAAAATTTTTGGATGACAACAAACTGATAAAGTCACTTAAAAGTCTATTCGCACCATTTCAAACTTTACCGATCTTACTCAATTTCATTTAATTTGCCAAATCTTGGCAAAATTTTCTTTGGGAGCATATCTATTGTTATCTAAGTTTAGAAAAAGAAAGCGACAATTTTTCTGTTGTGTTCACCTACTCCATAAAGCGGGCTCACCAGTGAAATTAGGAAGTTTCATGATAATTGATACTGTCCCTCATTTGTGAACCTGTAAAAAGGCTATATGAAAACCAACTTTTTATCAGGATTCAGGACAATCTGTTCAGTATAGCAGATGACCTGACAGGCCAGACAAGATACCTACACTTGATTGGTGCTTCAAAGGATTTGGCAACTGTAACCATAACATCTGTTCCAAAAACCTGAAATATGATATGAATCAAATAGAATTCAAAATCAATAAAACAAGCACAAAACAGACAGAGACAAACTGTACTTGTAAACAGAACAGCTTATAAGTTAAAAGTTTAGGCGATAGCAAGTAAGCTCCTTAGCTGTTCTGCAGTCTTGACAGCAGAATTATCTAATTGTCACCCTATAAAAGTGAATTATTATTATTATTATTAATTATTAATTATTAACTTATTGTTTTGGAGAATTTGCAAGTTACTGTGATAAATGTCTTGAACAATAATGAGAAAAAAATGATGCTTAGTGTATGAAGCTAGCAGGCAGGAAATATAACATATTGGAAATTCATTTGGTTCTTTTTTCCTTTTGTTTCCTATAAAAGAAGTTAGGGATCATGAATATAGTAGCAGGGGAAACTTCCATCCCCTGGCCCTGCCCTTATTAGTGACAGCCATGTACCAGGGAATGTTAGTAGCACAGTGTGATATTCTTAGCACATAATAATGTTAAAGTAGTGAATTATCCATGGGTTACTGCAATTTATTACTAGCTTTTTCTTAAATATGGCCATGTTCAGTATGTTTTCCCTAACTGTGCATAAAATGTTTTTTTTTAATTCAGTTGAACAGAAAAGAGCTCTAAACAATGCATTTTGTGTTATGGGAGATGTACCTTTTATTCTTATGGGATCATGTCATACAGCTGCTGTATTCACTATTAACTAAAGGGTAAACAGTTTAAGGTACTTGCCCAAAAGATATCATAAACAAAGAGTCCTCCAAGAAGGATGCAGCCTGTTGAAACAGTGTTTAAATGAAGAAGCTCAACTCCATTGAGAGAAAATGCCAAACCAAATATGTTGTTGGCAATCCAATGCTACAGAGGGAGGAACAAAATTATAACAATGTACCCAACTTACAACAAGTACTGCTACTTCATAACATAGTGAAGTTACTCATTAATTTTTCCTTGACTGCAATTAGCCATCTTAAATACTACAGTAATCACACAAGTACAAACAGTGATATTTAGAATCAACGATACACTGTAACTTGATTTGCTCGCTGAAAATCATTATTTTGATCATCTCAGTTACATTCATTTGGGACAGTTGCCATTTTAGCTCCTGGCATCCATTGGTGAAACAAGGACATTGGAATTTTAAAATTTGACAGCCAGTTTAATTTTAGTTCTTTCTGCCACACATCTGAAACAAAGGAATTTTAGATGAGATTTTTGTTCATGCCCTATGGAACAGAAGGTGTGATAAGGATTGATGATTATACACTTACAATAGAAACTGTATAATGGTTTCCTCATTAGGTGTCTCACTCTATATGAGAAGCCTAAAAGAAACAACTCTTTACCTTCTTCCATAAATACCATATTCCAAATGCAGACGAAACACCAAGACAGAGCAAGTCTATCCTGTCAAACTCATAGTTAACCAGTTCTGAAATCAAATAGTATTAATTCTGTAATCAAAATCACACTCTAAAATGAAAGAACACTTTTTCAAACCACAATGTACCAAAATTGATACCTGTTTTTTTATCACCTTTACCCTCCGTAAGATCAAGGGTGTATGTCTTGTTTGGAAATGCTGCTGGCAGTAGAAGTTCAACATTTGGTCTGAAATTTAGATGTCAAATTTTATTTGTAAAGTACAGTGTTCTTCTATAGGTATTAGTTAAGGCTAAGAATGTGCTGTTACAAGTACATGCACAAAATCAAGGTAGGTTACCACAAGTCTAAGGAAGGTGAATATAACCATTCCCAGGAACATTATCACCACAAAAAACCACATCCCGGTATTACTCCAGCCTGAGAGAGATGTATAAAACTATGAAAAACAATTTACCTTAGCAGATGTGTCACTGCCAATACTCCAAGACCAAAGAAGTAAACAGTAAGTAGAAGGTTGATGTATTCTTTGCTGAATAACTAATGGCAACAAAATAAAAGAAAAGAAAAGAAACTTGGAGGAAAGAGTAGTTATGGTTTTCAGCAATGTAGTTACTATTTTTTACTTGATGCTACCGTATGTACCCAGGGCAAGTTGTTGGAATGCCAGTTTGCACTAACCCAGGCTTAAAACTTAACCCAGGTTTCTTTTTCCTTTTATCAAAAGCACTCTCTCGGATAGTTTTCTGTATTCTTTTTAGAATATCCAATCATCAAATTGTAGGCACAGAGAATTACACCGAATTTGCTTTTTGAGCTCTTGTATCTGGGTTCAAATTTTCTACTTACCCTGGGTTATCTTAACCCAGCTTTGAACAACTTGATCCAGCATTTAAACTCAGGTAACTAAGCAATTTATTGCCATATTCTCTGTTTGTAGAAAAGGGACTGACGGTGATGATGAACTACATGTAGATGTATAATATTATTGTCATGTTTGATGAATGCGACAAAAGGTAGACTGAGTGTTTATCAGGAATCTATAATCTGTACAAGTCAACTTACTTTAAAAAAGATGTAAAGACCCAACAGGGTGCAACTGGCAATAATGGGAAACATGGCAGCATCCTTTGAAGTCATACTTTCTGGTTTCTCTCCATTTTTCTGTGAAAGTGCACAATCCAAAGATTAAGCATTACAGATTAAGTACATGTAGCATGTTATGGACATGACATAATTTATATTTTTAGGTTACACTTAAAATGCACTACAACAACCTCAACTGGGACCATTCAATATGTAATCAGCTCACCACAGACATGATGAAAACAATAATTATTGTTTCTGTAGCCCACAAATGTAAAAGCGTGATTAACTTGAGCTACCTTCAACTGTTTGGGTAACGTGGAGTTCAAACCAAGGTTCTGTCGATGGCTTCACACAGGAAGGTTTGCAGAAATTGGCAACCCTTGATTCACCCTCAGTGCAAATACACCTTGAAGAACGATCACACATGGATAGCAGAACTATTGTGTGTTACCTAGACTGAATTTGGAGGCAGTTGGAGTGAATTTACGGCCGTTTTCCTTCAGTGGATCGATCGGGCCGCTTCACTGGATTTCCCAGTAAACCTTACATTGAGAGAGAAAACCGTTTACGAAACCAACCCAAAAAACCGCCATAAATCAGCCCATGGACCACACAGGAGAGATGTAACACACATTTTATGTAAGGTAAGCTGTTTTTTATTGAAATCCTTTCATTTTCGTAGGTTACAGAAATGATAGGTTTTTTCCCCATACAAATCCTTTCGAAAGTTATGCCGATGCTCATATTTTGAGCTTGGGCTATCTGTAATTAATGTCTATGATATCCACTGATTTCCGATAACGACTGTCAGTTACATACGGTCTGACAGTGTGGGGATCGTGCAACAAGACACACCTAAAAAACTTGGAGAAACTCCATGCAAGGGCTGGACGGATTGTAAATGGGCTGCCATGGGACACAAGCGCTGAAGATGTCTTAATGCGAACTGGATGGGATAGTTTGGAAACAATGTACAAACTGCGACTAACGGAGTTTGTCTTCAAATGTTTAAAAGGTTACACCGTCACGGAATTTAAAAATTTGTTTTTACAGAGGAATTCAGGCTGCAGAAGAAATGAGAACATCATTCTTCCAAGACCAGAAACAAATTTTATCAGGAACTCCATACGCTTTAGAGGAGCAATCGCATGGAACACTTTAACGAACAAGGAAACAGGGGCCAAAACCTTGAAAGAATTTAAACGCTGTCTCGTAAAATTTGATACCGATAAAATGCATTTCGAACCAATCTTAGCTACTACCAAAAATAGAGATATCGGTTACGAATACTTTTAACAGTTTTAATTTTTAATTGTACATTTTCACGACCTATTTCAAACATTTTTAACAGTTTTTAGTTTTTAATCGTACTTCTTATTTTTCTTGTAATTGTTAGTATGCACGACCCCACCAGCAATGCTGATCTTTTTATCGTGCTAAAATAAAGTTCTTATCTATCTATCTACTGTCATTGATTAACTTAGTACGACTGGCTCCTACCAGTTTATTGCCATGTTCTGTCCCACTTACTGCAAGTTATTTGTTTCATTAGATTTTTCTAGGGAGTTTTTTTTACATAGGGCCAACCTACAAAGTTGCCTATAAATTTGTCTTAAGAGGGAAAATCCCCCATAAAATCAAATGAGAAAATAAAGAAAAAACTGTTGGGGAAATATACGAAGAGGAATACACGTGTAGGCTTAATGTATCAAGGAAAACTTAAAGCGGATGAGAGTGAATTACTTTGAAAACTTTCAACTTCGCAGTGTCATTAAAATTAACTCAGTTCTATGATCAACACCGCCAATGGTTACATTTCAAAAGGTCATGAACAAATGGGCCACAGACTTCGATACACGTAAGCTTTAATCTTAATTTAAACGAAATTTAAATGATCTTAAGCCGAAAAAATAAGTTCAAGAAACGTTCCATTTGCAGTGAAATCAAACACATAAGACGGCAGAAGAACTTTGAAAATAACTATATAAACCCTGTCTAAAAACATCAGCTATTGAAAAATCAATGAGAAAAATTCGTGATCAACTAACCTTCTGTTCGATCAGATACTTCACAGAGCGGAATGATCCGAAAAATATTGGTAAAAGCGCCATTAAAACCAAACTAGAATACGCCACAAACAATCCTTCAGGAGTTGCCGCTGCTCTGCCAGTTACATTTTTCGCAGTGTCGTTTACAGTAGCCGAGAGATTCGCTACTGTCTCATTCACAACTGATTCCGCCATCTTGACTGAAAGAGAGAGATCTTTTGTTTGAAGGAAACCGGCAATCCCATAGTTCCTATAGCGCGTGGTCGTCACCTGTTTCCTCTCCAATGATCGAAACACACGTCAACTTTACCCCCTTTTTACATCCGTTTCAGCTGCGCTAAATTTGCAAAAATATATTCTGTATTCTGCTGTTATTTAGCTCTGCCCATTTGATTTTCTCGTCAGATATATATCGGCGGGGAGGGAAACCACCAATGGGACCACTCTATCACAACTTTCTGGTATGGTGGTTAATGAGCAACCCTGGCGTTATCAGTTCGGGAGTATGCCAGTTTTGGAAGAAGCGATGACGTCATGATTCCATTGTTCTGCTAAAAACACGCAAAAATAGGAAAAAATAATCGCAAGAAACAAGGGAGCTTTTTTCAAAGCCTGTTCCACTTCTCCTCGTTCAATATCCGGGACTTCCGAGCTAGCAGTACCGGTGAAGAAGCCTTCTCCTTGCTTTTTGAATGTCAAGGGAACTTTCCTGCCACATTTCGGTAGTTAAAAGCGACAGTTTTCAAATGGCCTTCGACGCCGCCGCCGCCATCTTGACGGGTATCGAATGTAAGTACATGACTTTATGTTTAGTTTTCAGTATCTTGCCGAATTTTTACGAAGTCAAGACTAATTTTCCTCAAAACTACAACGTTTAAAGTGTGTTCAGGCAAAGTTTCATCGATGGCAACAACCTAGTAAAAATGGCAACCACACATTGAAAATTGCCAACGGACAGGAAGGGTTACTGATATTGATGGTTATGCCTTAGCCTGTATATGTAGTTTCAGTTATAATCGATCAGGTCTGTTTTTGGTCGTGTTCACCGGCAATTTATGCGACTCTCATCTAGAGATCACTTAATTGATCCAGATCATGTGTGTGGAATTAGTTTTAAATCAGTGTGAGTAGGTTCTTACATTGATTTCTTTTATTTTGATCAGGATTTCCGTCAAAAATGTAGACAAACATGTGGAGATATTACAAACATGTTGTCGCGTTTGTGCCAAAAAGCTGGGAAAAGCAACCAGGAAGACAAAATGCTAAATATCTTCAGAACGACATATTTGTGCTCTGAGGGCAAAATATTGCTTTAGGTTCGCCTTATGTTCCACTGTAATGAAAAATTTAATGTCCAACTTCAACCCTACCTCAATAGAATTAACCATGTTTTTTTGTTTCTTTGTAGTGTGGTCACAGGCTTACCCACCACAAAAGCCCCTCCTTTGACCCTTTCAAAAATGGGTAAGAGGGAAACAGGTTGGGGGGCTTATGTACCTTGTGAGTGGAAGCTCACACTCAATGACCATTCAACCATAGAAGAGACTGTGGCCCTTATTCAAGGGGCTTTAAAGGAGATAGATGAGGAAGGAGTCATGGAAGTGGAGGCTTGTGAAGATTTTCTCTACATAATGTTCAATCCCTCGCGTCAAATATTGTTTATACTTTACAGATGCCAAATACATAATATGTTCAGTCCCTGTGCTGCAAAAGGTCAATCAGAAACATGAAAAATGCCACACTCTCCCCCATCAATCCCTTTACATGAGCAATAAGCCCACATTTGATGTCATAATATCAAATATGTGTGTATTTGAATAAATCCTAAATTATTGAGATTCTCTTGATGAAAAAGCATCTATGTTAATGCATCGTCTTCTACAAATCATCCTCCCTAATAAATAATACATGAGAGACATCTCACAAGATAACTATTGAAAATCGATGTCAGCTGCTACTGTCTTCATTATATCAATTAAGTTTTGGATTTTGGTTTTCATGTCCAAGAAGGTGTTAAAAAAACAAGATTTTGAGATAAAAGAGTGTGTATAATATGCGAGCCAGGTAGCCATGGCAGCGAGTCATGCAGGTCAGGATCAAAAACAGTAATACGGAAAGAATTAACTGTCAGGACCTAAAATAAAATGTTTATTTACAAAAAACAAAATACAACAATAAATAACTTTTATTGTATCTTTACTCTGATGTGTGAGCTTTGTTTTCTTGAAAGTGCTGTTCAATAGAAACATGAAGAACCGGCTATGAAAAAGAACTTTGGAAAACTTATGTTGTGTCCATGCCAAGGGCAGTAATCATTTATTATTTTGGGCCAAACCTTGTCTAATAGAATTGTTTGAGGGTCCCCACAGAGAAGACTTGGAGAAAAGTGCTCCTCAAAGTTACAATGCCTTTGGTTTAAAGGCAACCCCAGAGTTAAAAACAATAATTTAGTATTATTTGGATGTAACATCAAATCCCATACAAGAGGATATTTTATAACAAATCATAACCTTGTTGATCTCTGACCTCTGGTCAAATCCGGTGGACTACCAAGACTATAGTATCCCATTTTAATCAATAGATCCAAAAGCATGTAAGAAGCATAATTCTTAGTTTTCCAATATGTATATTAAATTCTTAAGAGCCTCTTGCATTTGTTAAGCTTGACCAAATAATCAGTTAACTTCAGAAAGTGGAATAATTGAAAGCAACAGGTTTTTTTGAAGCGGGACAAAAAAAAAATGATCTGGGATGATAAGTAAGATTTTCACTTTGTGGGTTTTCAAGAAGAAAACGCGGGCACAATACCCTCAGAAATCCCTTGTAAACCTGTTGTATACCTGGACGGAACTGCTTCAAGACATAAACCAACAGAACATCATATTCCAAAAAACAGATATTTTACTCACAAATGACTCGCTTGCACCAAAACACTAACCTGAATTACAGCCGTCTTCTCCGGCCAGTCGCTCACTCGCGGGAGAGAACAGATGCAACGGGAAAAATTACAATGAATTATAGAACAACTCACTTTTTAGTTGTTTCCAAAGCATTCTTTTTTCCTTATGATATAAAAAAATGATGAAATAAATAGGCACAAACTTGTTAGTGTGCTTACCTATTTTCGATGTACTGATTACATACGCAGTGAGTACGCAGTGCCTACTAAGCGCGCGATAAGCGAAGAACTATAGCGCAAGAATGGTTACTCCCTGTCCTCAAGGTACTTCCCAATTCATAGTAACAAAAAGACAAATAAAAGGCTCGATAAAACAAGAATAAACGAGAATTTTGGTCAATACTCGTTCTTCTCCTCTCCCTTGTCCGCCATTTTGTATGTTTTGAAAATGGCCATCGCCATGGTGATCATGTTATGGTTGGTGACGTAGACTATTGTTTTCGCTTCTTCCAAAACTGGCATACTCCCGAACTGGTTATAGGGCTAATAAAGTAAAGAAAAAAATTAGACATGGCAGCTACTTTACTTCACAGAAATGTTTTCATTACACATCCTAGAACTGGTGAAATATAGACAAGACTTTAACGCATGTAGAGGGTAGCGAGGACATCTCCAGTACGAACATATTGATGGTACGCCGGTGTGGCAAAGCGCTCCCCTTCGCTACGTAGGCTGCGTAGGTGCTGTGTAGTTAACATCTTTGTGCCATTTTGAGGAGAAATGGGTATTCAGCAACAACACTCGCCCTTCTATCTGGTTTCGACATGTTGGCGATACTTTCACCTTCCAAAAACAACAACGCAGCATGTTTAACTCTCGTTGCTTTAACTATACAAAATTGAAAGAAACAGTGATCGCTAACAGTAGAGATGATGCGACCGCTGACAAGCGTTTTGACCGTCAGTATGTTAACAACAATTAAGGACTTTACGATCCAACGACGCGACGTCAACTATAGCCTGAATTCCATCCGATTACTTCGAATCGTTATTACTCCCTCAACTAGAACGTCGCTTAAAAAGTTAATTTGGATTCTTTCAGTCTTTATCGCAATTATTCCTACCCACTTTGTCAAATGTAGGCGAACCCTCCTGGAATTGAATTCCTAGGGACCATATCCAAGTTCAAAAACAGAAATAAAATTTCGTCGTTGCTTGTTTACGTCCTCCATAAAACGTGAAATAAGCCATTTTAAAGTCGTAGTCGTACAAAAACGGGCAAAGAAATGTACAAAAAACCGTGATGCACGCGCAAGGTTGTTGTTTTGCTTATTAAAACCTATCGTTTTTTTTGACGTTCTTGTTGCCGTCCGCGTCGTTGGATCTTAAAATAGGCTGATTTAGCAACAGAACGGGAACGTCAGTCGACGACGGCGCGCGCAAATCAAACAGCTGGCTTGACCAATGGCTGAGAGGCAAATTGGGCACCGGAAGTCGAGTTTAGTCCTTTCCGCGAGCTTTCCCGTCGTCAAATGAAGTTCCCGTTCTGTTGCTAAATCAGCCTAATTGTCAAGTGAACGAGGCTAAGTGTCTGTAGACACGAGAGGGCTCACCCACCGTTTAAATAGGATAGCATCTTTGTAAAGACACTAAGAAATCCTGACTAATAATAGAGAGAGGGTTTCACATACGACGCGTACCAAAGTATTTTTGACGAACTTCGAGGTGTTTGATGTTGTGATGAAGTCGCTTGTTTGATATTTAATAACATTAAAAGTAGGAATTGCTTCTTTTTCACTTTACAAACCTGTTTTGTGTTGAATTTTTACCTTTGCCTTTCTTCTTTATAAGGAGTTTTGTTGCTTTGTTTACCTACGTCCTTTTGCATGGAATTGTGGCTGGCTAATGACCACTTGAATTCTTGCCATCCGAATTCAACCCTTTCCCGGTCAGATCCCTTTCAAACGTCTGACAAGCCTTGGACAGAGGCGAGCCAAATGGCCAAAGGGGAGCTGGGGGAAGGTGTTTTAATGTTTCTTTTCCAAAGCAGTTAACTGGCATCACAAAGCACCACAACGAAATTAGCCAAAAAATTCTGCATGTTCGTAAAAGCAAGAGAGAGACTCGTTGAATGTTCAGGTACTTTTAATTTTGATGGCATTTCTCCATTTAATAATTTTTGATGTACAATTTAAATCAATTGAACGAACACTATAATAGTCAGCTGGCTACTTAAACACCAATCTATTAACCTTCGATAGCGTTTCAGTTGTTTTTCGCGAGTGCGAAAGTCGACCGAATCGCAAACTGGCCGCCGACTTTTTTGCTCCCAAGAAATGCTCGATCGTAGATCAACAACCCTATTAGTTCCATCCACTGTAAACGAATAAATTAACACTGTACAATACTAGGGGCGTTTACCATTTGTCAGAACTGGGTGTCCACACCAGATAAGTCGCAAGGAGAACTCTGGACTATACGGCCAGATCAGTTAATTCCTAAACAGTATGTGAGGCAGTGATGGGTTTCAGTGAAAATTTCGAGTAAAGACTAATATTTCATTTTAAAAATGACCAGCCGTCTGGTCGGCCAGTTCTGACTTTTGGAAAGCGCTCTAAGTTTCATTGATCTGTCTAAATAAATACTCAGTTTATATACATAACAGAGTGTCATAGCACAAAACCATTATTGGCTAGTATTGAATATTTTGTTATACCTCCTAATTACAACTCGAAAATGAAACCAATTAGTTGCTCTTAGCGAAGAGCTTAGAGTACCTCTGCGACGACGACGACGCCATCATTAGTCGCAAGCGTCGGCGCCATTTAACCAGGGTTCATACAAAAAATTGCAACCATTATTCTAGGACTTTTCAAGGACCACCTACTAGGAATATAATTTCACAGATTGTACAAAAATGCCGCGACATTCCCAGTCCATTCTAATAAGACTTTAAGGCTTGAACTGTTCATGCTTTACCAACGCCTCTACATTTCCAGTTCACTTGTCTAAAACTGATAGTCATATTATTGCATAAAACATAGAGCACTTTATGTAAATAACCTTTAAATTCTCTGAGCTATGACTTATATTCTGTCTTGGACAATCAAAAAGCATCAAAAAACTCTTTCCAGGTTAATACATTCCAAGTTGAAGAAAATTCAAGGACTTTTCAAGGACTTGCACAGAAATTTAAGGCCTTTTCAAGGACTTCCCCTAAAATTCAAGGACTTCTCAAGACTGTGCGAGCCCTGTTAACGATAACTCGACCAGATATGACCATGAACTCTACGACCGGTCACGTTTATTTCTACATGGCTACAATCGTAAAAAAAAAAAAAAGAATCAAGGTCAAACGTAACCTGTGTTACTAAGTGATACACGCAGTATAAAAACGCGTTAAAACCTGATTCACCTTTATACATAACGATATAGAACTAAAATACGACAAAATATATAAATCAAGTTATATATACCTGCTGAACTTATGGTCTTACTAGAAAGTATAAACTGTATACTTCCAACTGTTAGTTGCCGAGAAAATAAACCAACAAAAGGCACGGGGCTAAGAATTCATTGGTCCTACTAAACGTAAATAACGTTCTTAAAAAAATAAAATGAAATCACTTCCGTTCGCCAGAAGCGATGCCAAACACAGTCTCAATATCCAGACAAGTTTTCCAAATCACTTCTCGCTGTTTGCATATCGGATTAAGCACTCCACCCATTTTCTATATAAACCAGAGTCCCCGTTATTAATATCATTGAGTCTGTAAAGTAGACCAAGATACAGTAAAACCCGGCGACTAAGAATCTGTTTGAAACAGGTTCTTATTAACTAAAATTTATAAAAAATATATAATAATAATAATAATAACAACAGCAACAACAATAATAATAATAATAATTCTGTAAACTAAGGCAAAAGGACTTCAAAAATCATGTGGTCAGTGCTTCAGTCCTTATTCTCAGAGTCGTTTTTATGTATAAAATACTAATTTAGCATGCAGATTTTATATGAGGAAAAAGCTGCATACCACCAAATACTAAAAGCTACCCCGCTTTTTTTTCTCGCCAGAAAATAAGAACCTTCCTAAGAACCTAAATAGCCTAAATTTGTGCTATATGATAGAACCTGTTTAGGCTAACTTGGAAAAATGCAACTTCTTAGTCAGGGTTTTTTACTGCACTGCATTGCCACTCTCTTGACTCCATCCCTAATACGGAAATAGAAATTGCCGTTTTTCTTGACTCTGAGAATAGCCTCTGATGATGGTAAAACGCTTTGCAGTGCTTTGCTGTAGTGGGCATACTTAGCGCTCAGGCGTTGACTTCAGTTATGTATTTGACCAGGGAAAAGTTATATGATAAATTCATGGTTTGAAATCAGATTGGTTATAGCTGTATAGTCTTTTGTTACTGGAAAGAGGCATAGGACACTCGAATGAACACTGCCTTGAAGGTCTAAACAAATCATTTACTTTCGTTAAGAGGATCAACCTGGATGAACTAAACCAACTACATAAAAAAATTGAAGTATGTAAAGAAGTAAAATGTCTGTAATTACCGTCTAGTAAGACACGCCTCAGCTTATTCACAAGCCAAGGCAATTTCTGTATTTATAGAAAACGTTTTTTATGTTTTTTCTCCTACATAGTTCAACAGAAAAAAAAAAAAAAAAAAGAATTCTCCAGAAAATCAGGCTTCATATTCGAGGTTGGCGGACGGAGAACATCTTAACTAGTGACCAGGCTCCAGCTGTTGGGAACAAAACAAGCGAGGCACGCCGAACAAAAAGGGGCGGAGAGGGGAAGGGAGGGGAGGATTCAGCCCACCCACCCACCCACTTACCCTCACTTTCCCTAACCTCCCTTCATTCTCGATGACTTTCACTTCAGCTTACCTTTAATCTACCCAAAAAAGAGCCTGATCACAGGATTGGAATGTTGACCTTCTCCTTGGAGACACATCTAATATAATTTCTACTGTCAAGAAATATAGGCATTTTAAGATATATGTTAAAATCGTGAAACTCCTCTTATGGACAGTTGCACACTAAACTGAGCCACACGCTTGGAAACGCGCGCTCTCTCTCTCTCTCTCTCTCTCTCTCTCTGATGCGGACAACCGCGTCGAGCTCAATAAATAAATATTTCAATAAATAACTCAATACATAAATAATTAAGGACTGGTACATTTTTACATTGACTATATTGTTACCTCCCCAAAGAGGCTTTCTATTTTACTGTATTCTGACATATTAGTGACTTACGCACCGTAATATTACCTGTTGTGTTATTTATATTCGTTCCACAACAAAATAAACGAATAATTAGATACACATAGAGGATATTACTTGGCCGCGCGGAGATACGAAATTTCTCTTCGAGTGGAGAGAAGAGAAATTTCGTCTCTCCAAGCGGCCATGTAATGTTTTATTTATTATATAAAACACCAATGAACTACCAATCCATTTCACTTTGACAGTTTTTTGGTGTGAAAAGCGCGAGTTATTATGTAGCCATAGCAACGGTGATATTTTCACATGTGAAGATATCAAGTTTTCGTGCGAAAGCTCACCTGGTATTTCATTGGTGTTTATATAATAAATAATATTATTACAAAGCATCGTTACTGGCCTCTTTATCGCTTTCCTTAGCTTCTCCTTGCTCCACATTTTGCGCTTGTTGTTGTTCATCTTCATCCTCTTGATTGTCCTTCTTTTCACTTCCATCTCCTTGGTTACCTGGTTCTTTCTCATCTTGGCTCTGCTCCGCATCTGTGTTCTCCATTCCCTCACCTTCGTCACCCGTTTTCGCTGTGCCTTCCTCATCTTTCCCTGATCCATCTGAGGGAGAGTTCATAGCATCTAGCGCTGTTCTACTTTGTTGAGCCAGTCTCGACCATTTCTGTAGATTTGTCCTTTTTATGGCACAAACAAAAATTAACATATGGAGTAGAGAACCTAGCAATCATCTTTCTTACGCTCTGCCGGTTTATGGTGCCTCAGATTCCCACCTTTCTGTAATACAGAATTTTTTAGACCGGTGTATGAAAAGAAAGTTTATGTCCAAGAAGGTAAATATTAGGGACTTGCTAGAGAAATCGGACAAGACACTCTACAAAAAAAGATCGAATGACCCCGAATGTCCGTTCTTCCAGTTTTTACCTAAGGAAAAGAACACGAGGTACAATCTTAGAAATTCGTCAGTCTCTGTCCCTAGAATCTACACTGACAGGTTTAAGAACGTTTTTAGTAAGGGACTGGTCAAAAAGTATGGGGGGGGGGCCGGGGCATTTGGAAATGTGTTTGATAAAAAACACATGACCCACCCCCTCCCTTCGGCACAAAAATGACTGACTCACCCCTAAAGCAAGGTTGGAAATTGCATGACCCACCCCCTAGTTAAAACATGGATGTTCGGTTTCCTCTTGTTCTGTGCTTGACAAAATTTGTTGATACACTGCTACAACCAATATCAAAATCACAGAAATCATACCTTTCACTGAAAAGACGAATGTGAAAAACCGAACATTTCTTGTTTCAGTGGACGTTTAAATATCAAAAAATAAATATACACCAAATATACAGCAAAACGAGGGTATATTGAAATTTTCTGTCACAAAGCATATGAAAATTTCAACTAAGACAACCCATTCCTACACATTACTTGCCCGAAATGCTTAGATTAATCCTCAAAGAAAATTTCTTCCACTTCAGTGGAAAGCACTACCTGCAAAACCATGGAACTGCAATGGGCACAAAGACAGCAGTTTTGATTCCTTTGCCAATGTTTTCATGAAATATATTGAAACAACAACTCTAAGCAAAACTGTCTCTAGAACAACAGTTTGAAAATGCCACATACACGATATCTTTTCCCTATGGGACATGAGTAAACCAGACATCGAAGCCTTCATTGAACAAGCAAGCTTACATCACCCAACTAATGAATTCACGGCCGAAACATTTGACACTGAGACTGCGTTTTTAGACATGGTTGTCTACAAAGGCACAAGATTCAAGGAAAAATCTATCCTTGATGCAAAGACACATTTTAAACAAACGGAAAGCTTCTTGCACACACATTTCACCTCGTGTCACCCTCCAAATGTTAAAAAAAGAATTTTCAAAGGAGAAGCCTTAAGAATCCTGCGAAAAAACTCCTCAGAAACAACCTTTGAGGAAAATAATTCAAATTAAAAAAAAAAAAACGCTTGATGGACGGAGGCTACCCACAATCTTTCAGGGGCACCCGACGTCAATTTTCGGAAAATAACTGTTCGAAAGACGATTTGAGAGCTAGAATTGTCGGAACATTTGCTGTAAAACTTCTTGTTTGTCTGCCCCTCCAAGGATTTTCGAACATCTAAAAAAACGGTATAATTGCCTATTTTTTGATCCCTATAATTTTCGTATCACTAGACTTTCAGCTAGGAGATCCAAACAGATGGAAAATTTTTAGCGGATAAAAATATGCCTATATCTACTGTTTAAATTGGTTTTGAAGTATACTCTCGTTGGGTGCCCCCTATCTTTGATAGAAAACCTACTATCAGAAATAAAATTCACAAAAGGGAGTCTAAACTCCCAAAACAAAACAACAAGGAGGAAAAAGAAATATTGCCATTCGTGACACAATACCAGCCCTCAGTGTCTACTATAAAGGAAGCTTGAATGAAAAAATGGAATCTTACACAAAACCAACTATAACTTCAATAAATTTTTAAAGAAAACGGTTCACAGAGGGTTCCACGCCCGTATAGAGTCTATTTGAGTGGTAACAGACTATCAGTGGTAAAATGTGTGCACGGATTTTTCAAATGCGACCTAAACCGAACCAAAATGATTACTTTGGTCAGTTATAACAGATGCAGCTGGTAAGCCAGAACTCAAGAAGCGCGGGAAAACGCCTACGAGAGCACCGGCAATCGGTATACGTTTCACCACGGATTGATGGAGAAAACGGCGCGAGATTTCTTTGAGCCAATCATAAAATGTAGCAAGGAAAGACAAAAAGCAATCAAGTTACTTGGCAAAAACTGTAAAGCGCCTCTTCAAACGATCCCCGTTAATAGGGCTAATTCGTTTCGAGTGATTTCGACTCGCTATTGTTTTTTTCTTTGAAACAAATCCAAGTGGATTTTTTAATTAGATTCGCCGCTCATACACTGAAAAATTGACAACGAAGGAAAGAAAAAAATCTAACAATGCCAAATACTTAAGAAAGAACAAAAGTTATGGCAACAGTGTCACATCTAAGGTGCGTGGTAGGCCTTAAAAGAGCTCTAACACATTTTCACTTACTGAGATCCCTCCACAAGCGGCTTTGTCTCCGGAATACACTTCTGTAACAGTTCGTAACACGGAAGACAGATGCCGACCAAAAACCCCACCTAATGGAAAAGCCATGTACAAGTATTGAGAACTGTATGTTAAATTTTCCCACTCTTACTACAGCGGGCTGAGAAAGGAACTTAATGCTTATGAGAGAATAACTGGTAAAAGGATAATGACTTTTGCATCTTGTCCAGGAAGATCGGGAGGTGCCGCTCTGAACCACTCCCTCAATTGATTTGTCAGTCAACTTGAGCGAAACTCCTCGCTCACACTTGAAAAATAAAAAACTGGTCTGCCTCCTTCCAGTTGGAAATACTAACTTTTTGTAGTTAATTTGTCAGGCTAGTTCCTGAAATGTTCTCAACAGCACAAGGCTTTGCGTTACTAACAACTTCGAAAAACTAAGGGAAAACATACGCATTTTAAGATTACTTCACGACCAACCCTACGACTGCCTCGTACCTGGTGAGCAGGAAGCTCATGGGCTGTGTTACGGTCCTTCATCGCGATAGGTTTCTTTCCTTGAGCTTTTTCCAGGTCGCCCTAACAACAGGAGTAACAAGAAAAGAAGTCAGCAGAGCCGGGTACTTCACTGACTGTTTCCATCACTCCCAGAGTGCAAATGAGTTGGTGAAAAAATGGATCAAGGATTAAGGTTTCTGGGAAACTGCCCAACTACCCCCTCCCCTAACCCAACATTTTGCCCTAAGTGAGAAGTGAGTGTTAATGCTGACTTAGGGGAGGGGTAGGTGGGCAGCTTCGCAGAAACCTAAGTCGATATCCCTACATGTCACCATTCAAATGAAACCTCAGTACTTTCAGTGGCATGCAGTACTTTCATATGGTACTATTCCTTTTTCAGCATGTTCCAATATGAAATTAGAAAATAGTGGAATTTGGACTTCCGCCACGTTTGCGGGGAGTAAAAGGGTTGAAGGCTTATTATATCCGATTTGCGACTTGGACGTTGTAGTTTTTCAGCGAAAGCTACTTATTTGTGAGGAAAATCTAGAGATCTGCACTTTCTGAAATTCGGATAATTCCACGACGAGACAGAGGCTGCATAAAGCAACTTTAGACTTAACGCTTTCTGTAAACATTCTTCTTTTAATCCAGTGGCTTTTTCGCTCGGTGTTGAGGCTCAGTCACAAGGAGAAAACGAGCAGGTTCTTCAGCTCAAAGAAAAATGGCTGCTTAATGTTAAGTTGCCTTGTACAGCTGGTCCCTGAGTATAACGTTTCAAAGATCGAAATTAGAAGTAATACGTTTCCCAGGAGAGGGAAATAATATCAAGAGTGATTGTGGGATACGACGTTTCGATACCCCATCAAGCAAACGTAGGAACACGCCAATTCCATTGTTTCTTTTCAAAATCTTGACCATTTGAGCAACCGATTATCCAGTGCCTTTGAGATTAAAACTACAAAAGTACAAAACAGCAACAACAGCAACAACAAAAATTCTCCTCTCGAAATAAACTAGCTTAGCCCTACAATTCAGTTGAGTAACAAATCATGACAGAGTTCCTGTTATTTTTGGGCTGGATACCCTTAAACGTCGGTACTGCGACAACTTTAACAGCGCTCATTTTAGATTTTAGCATCAAAAACAGACTAATCCACAAATGTCAAAAACGACGGCTCCTACATATAGGGTGTCTCTTCGCTCTGCCACTTTCTTAGACGATGATAAAGTACACGTTCAAAGGAAAAGATTCTGACCCTTTTCGTTCTCATCACCTGCTCGACCAAATTGTTCCCTACGCTTTCTTATGGTCAGCTCACCTCAGCGTAGAATTCTTGGTAGATCACTTTTACGATTTCTAGTTGGATCTCCCAAGGCTTTGTACAAGCTGACAGATCACAGGCTGTCATACAAATAGCTCTTAGCAGCTTCCTGAAAAATACAAAGTATTTAACATCAATAGACACAAATGGAACAATGGAACCAATTCTACTTTCATTAGAAAGACTCACGTTTTACGATGCGTTCTCTGCTAACATGATTTTTCTACTCACCGGAGAAATTAAGAACGAAGATAATTTTTTTTTTGGGGGGGGGGGGGGGGGGGGCAAGGGCAAGCAAGGTACATTATGGGAGACGTAGAAGTGACAAATGGTCCGACGACCGATTCTTATTTGCAACTATGAAAAGGAAAGACGACAGAGAAGAATATTAGTGCACTATTGACGTATTACCTGTGTTCCTGATTGTCCCAAGAGAATTGACCCTTCTCGACTATGTCTTTGAGTTTGGACTTGTTCCCAAAGAAGAGTGCCAGGTCAGTAGCAAGAATACACTCCTTCATGTAACCCAGCACTGTTTTGTACTCTGCCGGGCTTAGATGGGAGAAAATATTGTGGCCTTCGTGCTGTTAAAGACAGACCAAAATAATTTAAGAAATTGTACACAATATAACCGCGGCAGGGTTATCTCAGTAAGTAGAGCGCTGGTGTGTTGGCGGAAAGTCGCAGGTTTGAACCCCAGGACACGGCCTTCGCCCACTGTCTTGAAATAAGAGGGTAAAAATGATATCTCGTGGTATTTATTTAATGAAAGTGCAAATTTCTGCAAATTCTGCCCGCCATATTTGTTTACAAGTAGTGTACGCATGTGCATTTCCCTGAAACAATCTTTAAAGCTCATAAAATCGCAGACACATCGCGCTAAAATCGCAACAAAAATCGCCCGTGCACACTCTCCTCTAAAAAATTTTGAGTACCCGACTTATTCGAGCCCAGGACCTACCGTGTAAGGGTAGCGCGTTCTGAGCAATAGACCACAGTCCGAAGAAAATCCGGACAAAATCAGTCATTTACTATGTTCACATGTTACACACGTCCTACTTTATGCTTTGCCTATCTACCCCTTTGTGTTTTTCACAAAAAAAATGAAACTCGAGTCAGTAAAATGTAGGTGTAATTACCTGGAGTATAGTGATAGTCTGGTTAAAGTGATGATGTTCCATGGTCGACGTACTGTACACGGCCGCCAAAGGTGTTTGTTCGTTTTTCATCCATGAATTAGTGCGGCCCCTGTGGTCCAAGTCATGACACAGACAAGCAAAGAACAACGCCAGGGCCTGTCAAACAAAAAATGTTTTAAAACGTAAACTTTTCACGCTAACCCCTGGCTATGGGTCGGGTTATTTCGGGTCAATATGGAAAGATGCAGATTATAAATTACTAAATCGACTTAGTTTTCAGATTCAGTCTAAGTGATTTTTAAGCTTGGAAAGGTAATGGACCAGAGAATAAATCCTCTCTTCAAGTTGGCCATTAATAGCAGAGATGCATCATTTTGGAAATTCTGACCAGTTCTGCTACAGTTACACACAGAAAACCTACTTACATTTCGGGAAGAAATCCACTGCCCATTTCGCTATTTACCTACTACTCTTTCCAGATAAAATTTTCTTCCTTTCCTGAAAAGTTAGCCAGCCGAAATTCCATGGGAAAGAAAGACGATATAGTGGGCATAGGAAAGTAAGGAAAAGGAAAGAACTCGAGAGCAAGATATTCAAAGGTTTAAGGAGAGTTGGGCTTTTTTGTGGTTGAGCGTGTGTGGTTTGCGCAACTTGTAATTTCACTAGTAACAAACTAGTCTCGCCATCTGTCTCTCTCCGATTCGCTTAAATCGCCAGTGTATCAACATTCTCTCAGACTTTCCTTTATTTGTTGTCATAGCCTTACTTTCTTTCCGAAGCATAATAATTGACAATTTGTTGTTTCTCTCCCTCTCTCTCCTTTTCTTCGTATTATTGTTACTATGAAACGCTTTTTAAGTCCCATACCTCAAGTGCAGTGAATTTTTCATTTCCAGACCGAATAACAAGATACATGGAGTGAGCTACAGCGAATGCATGTGTCCAATTGTGGTAAGGTACATCGCGGTAATTCTTCTTCACTGTTAACACAAATCGCCTGAGCTCATCTATCCCAAATCTAAAAGGGGGAAAGAGAGCCAGCGACAAATAAGTTACCGCTTACAGTTACAAACGCACATCCCACCCCTCTCTAAGGAAAGTACTTTAAAATTTCAGTGAGTTCCAAAAAGCTTCCTAGGTGTGCAGTTTGCCTCAATTTTCTGATGAATGCTGTATCCTCCATAGGCTTTTTCAAGGCTAAGCGGGGACAAGAGGTATAAAAAATAACTTTTTTGAAATTAAGATATCCCGACCAACGCCCTTAGACTCCCTCTCTGTCCTATTATGGTCTCTCACAAGGCGGGTAGCATGGACTTCACTGTGTCACTTCATGTAAGGTAATCTAAGACAGTCTTGGATTCTGGATTTCACGCTGTGGATTCCGGATTCCAATCGTTAGTAGAATTCTGGATTCCTTAGAGCTGAATTCGGGATTCCAAAGCTAAGGATTCCCTGTTTTTATAAGCAAACCCCCGGCGATATGTGGGGTGCCGGAGTCAAGCGCCGCACTAGTCTCCAGCACCCCACATAAATTTTCAAACTTATCTCTTGAAAAGCTACCATTTACCACATTACCATTGTAAATACATAACCCAACAGCAAACTTTTCACTCAAAAATAACGGGCAGGAGAGAAAAAGAAAACAAAAGAACCGTTGATTCCAGGTGATCTGGCTGTAATGACAGATCCTCCACAGAATATTTTTAACAGAAAGGTGTGTACCCCCACACCCCCTCCTCCTAGGAACCCTCATGTTATGCTGACGCAGGAACCCATGGCTCCTGGCTGACGTCAATAACCCACGTTCGATATATTAGAATTCTAACATGACTCTGAGACTTTAAGATCATTTTTTATATTTGGTTTGGTTTTCTTTGTGCTAAAGTCTCTTCTGGGAATTGCGAGACAATAGAGGCATGAAAAATTTGCAATTTTATCCCTAAAGCCTCGGAGTCATGTTAGAATTTTAATATTTCGAACGTGGGCTATTTAATCAAACGTATCATCACAGTTCTACCTTTGAAGTGAAAACAGGTTCTTTGTCATTTGAATGACAAGGCTTGGCATCATGTCATCTCCATTCTTCAAAAGTGAATACGAGTCAAAGGTATAGCTAATGAATCAGAAAATGAAAAACAAAGTTCTATTAGCAGAGAACCATAACCTGATGCTACAATGGTCCGAGATCGTCGGCTAAAACTCCCTCCTTTAGTTTGTGCGGCTAAAAGAACCGCTTATTGTGTATCTGAAAAACCTTGGAGTGCAGGGAGAAGCGGGGCGTGAGGGGGGTGAGGGGGGTGAGGGGCGTTGGAGGATGATGAAATAAACTTCAATTCACGATACCCGCCATCTTCCATCTTTACACGCGCGTACGGATTGAGCAGTGACGCACTGTTTCTAAGGGTGGTAAACAACGTATTCCTTATTATTGACAACGGAAAATGAAGAAAATGTAGTGTTAAAGATGACAAAGATGAAATATATGGGTGGAGGTGATCAATCTGTCTTTTTTCAATATAATAGCGACCGAGGATATCCTCGTAACTGTAGGTCAGCAAAATGACGTTAACACTTAATGTTTCTTGACCCGTATATTGGGCACGAATAAACTTGTTTTCTCACTTGAGTTGAAGGGAATTTTCAGTCTGGAACCAGGTAACAAGGCGGCCATACTTGTTGACAAAACAATAATTTTTTCCGCAGAATTTGCATTAAAAAAAAAGAGCTTAGTTCCCAGCTGAGGGTAACGCATTTGTTCTTGACCACCAGCAAGACAAGACAAGACAATAGTTTTTTTGGAGTCTTATACAGTCCTATGTACATCGACTTTATCCAAATAATTTAAAATCATAACACAAATTGCACACTAGTGGAACTATAATCAATGTTAACATAAAGAACTAATGATCTTCTTTTCTCATAGCAGTCGAATACGTATTTTGCAATTAACGTTTGCACTGGTTTGTTCTTGCTCGGAGGGTTTATTAACAACAGAAAAACATCATCTGATGCCATTCTGTTGACTGATATTCTGTATTCTTTGTTTAAGTATTCAAATAAAGTACTTCTTTTTTCTTGATACCAGCATGGCCGCGCGTGGTTGCATTTTTTAACCGATAACTGTCACTTATAATGTACACGTGATAGTAAAAACACCATATTGGAGTAAAGGTCAGAGGGTTTTCATCCTTTTTTTACTAATGTTTTCGCTTTCCTCGGGAAAAAAGAAGCCTGGTATAGATAGGATTGCACGCTTACCTTTCTAAATTTGGAAAAGGATCTTGCAACTGCATATCGGACACACCCTTGAATTCACGATCAGAACACTTGCTGTGGTATGACAAAACCTCCAATGCAACCTAACATGAAACACAATCCATGAATTTTACACTTGAGATTCTTGTTCTTATACCTGCATTGTACGACGTGTTAGTGAAAACACCGGGGCGATATTCATTCCATTCGCTCCACAAATTACTTGCATTGCAAGCAACATCCATTTTTTAATACACTAATAAGATTACAACCTGGCAACATTAAATCGCACTCTGCGTCTGATTTGGTTGAACTATGTATTTTCAGTTTCCAGAGTTTCCAAACAGAAACTGAAATTTTTGCGAAATCATTTCTCTTATCACTAATTTCCTTAAATTCAAAAATTTGTTCTAATGTAATGCGAAAGAGGTGCTCAAATGCAAACAAAGAGGAGGCAAAGTTGCGAGCGGTTAGAGAGCGGAACTCGCAAATCGGATTCTGCGTTGAAGCCCGGCCCTGACTGCTAACAGGATTTGTTCTCCATAGTCCAGAGTTCAATTCCTCGGCCACTCTTGTAAATCGCCAGACGGTTTTGCCTCCGGCCAGCGGGGATTCTTAACGCGTTAAGTTTGATTTAAATTAGTTTCAGCTATTTGCTCGGCCCGACTACCATTAGTGTTATAGATACCTAGAAGTAGCCACACATGGTAACTTACCCTGTGTTTTTGCTCAGATCTCCTGATTTTGTCGTAAAGCTGGAAAAGAAGCATTAGGATAGTCGCTGTTGTTACAGTCAAAATTCTCAGAGCATTCAGTTTGACTTTCACATTCGGATAAAGTGTTGTACTTTTGGATTCTAAGGCCCGCGTCGAAAGGTTGCGATTTGCTGGAGAATACATCGGCCAACATTACCACAATCTGCACGCACGCTACTGTGTACCAGGAACGACGGCCTAAAAATAGGCTTCATTTCTAAAAACTTTTTGCATTGCAGTTGAACCGTACCTTCGAAATACTTTTCTTTACAAATCTTTCCATAATCAAGACAAAAGATCGTAGGGTTTGAGATTCACATTGAACACTGTATCTTTTCAAAGTTCAAACCTGAATTATTTTGATCACGGGCGTAAATTGCTCTAAAGGCCTCGCAGAAAAGGAGGATTAGCAAGTAGTCAAGTAAACCATTTCACTCAGTGACTTTAGGTCAACGACTCATGGACATTACTTTTACACACCTTGGCATGGTGAAGAGCTAACCCACAGTAGATAGCAAATGTTTGAAAAGACTTCTCGTCTGTTGAATAAAACAAGCAGTCACGCAGTTACGAGAAAGACACCAAACAAGCGCGTAGCCTGAGAAAGCAGCCGGCATTTCGCAAAACAATGAGTGGTTTTCTCCGCGAAATGCTGTCTGAGGAATGACAGCAGAAATTCTATACTGATGACGCGTCACCAGCCAGATCTGGGGAGTACTTCTGATTGGTTTAAGCAAATTTTCCTCGCTGAAACATCAGAGAGAGTGAAATCGCGAGTCACTACATCTCTACTTATCTAGCCAGTACACCAAGGCATTTACAAGCACCAAAGCAAAAAGCATATAAACACATCTCGCAGAGCGAGACTATGCAAGCCGTAAAAAAGCCAATTAAATTTTTTCACCAGCTATTCTTGGAAGAGAATAATCCATGATAATAGCCTCTTCCTATGCTATTGTAGTGTTTGCTGATATTCAGGTGTTTTAGTTGCCAGCAAAGGTCTATTGCTACCCACAGGAATTCATAAAGTCGCTTACGAGCAGGCCAGGCTAACTTTCCTCGCCCCATTCTTCTCGCCCGCCTCGACGGCTCGCGCTGGCGGCTCCACCGCCAAAGGTTTCCCCGAACTCGCACAAGTCAACCCTTAAGCAGAACATTTACCTGAGGCTGTAAAAACTCCACTCTTTTTATTAACCATCTGAACAACACCGATGATACTAGAAAATGAAATAAAACAAAGTCACATTTATACCATCAGAAAACCCAGCAACAAAACAACGGTCTAACCTTACCGAGCAGACAATGTACTTTGTAGCGTACGCGATATACAACAGGCAAAAAAGTCTAGGAGCACATGGGCCCAAGGGACTACAAGGCCAAAGATTATCCCGGTTTCTGTAACATGAGAAACCTACGAACGTTTTTACTCCCCCTGAACGGAAATTTTAGTCTATGAAAGGGTTAAACCCTGCAGTATGCTGCCAAAAGCCAGTTATACAGCTGAGTAAAGAGCAGGCCCTAATCCTATTCAGCCTTTCGAGTCGAGGCTTGGCAGGAGCTTGCACCTGAGAGAGTGAAATAACCGAGAAGGGAGCTGTCTTTTATCTGTCAGGCGTTTGCCTCGTTCACTCTCCCCTGACATGCTCTTCCCTGTGATAATCCTGAGGGAATGTGAAGAGGGGGAAAGTTTCTTGTCTAACGAAAAAAAATGCAACAGCGACGCTTTAGCCCAGACCAAAGATCCAAAGTTTGAGATGTTCACCGCTGACTGCCACGTTTCCACTACGTGCAATAGCAAAAAAAAAATAAACTAGCTGTGACTTCATATTATTATGCATGCTGTAACTAAGCCACCGAAATCAAGTTAAAGCATGAGTTCTGCATGCGGCTATCAGCAAGCAAGTTTGTGATTGCTAAACAAGCACTAGCAGGACTTCAGATACTTACTTCCCTCTAATGAAGATAGGCATACATAATAACGTATTTGTGGTGTAGCCTGTTTGAATATCAATTTCCCTGCAAACGGACAACAGCTATTTGAGCCTCAAGCAGTATTCCTGCATGGCACAGTTACTGTTTAAATTAATGATAGGGAGCTTAAACAACCACGTCGGCGATGGAAGCGAAAACCTCACTTAAAGAAAGTGCATTCGCGCTGTTTCAAACTCTTGTTCCATGTCGTTTTATTTGTCAAATATAAGCCCATTTTTCTAAAGTTGAATACTTAAAGTGTGTGTCTAAGTTAGAAACAGGAAAAGAAAATCGTTGATTTGTGTTCACGTTCTCAATGAAAGGTGAAATTAGGACGAGACTACGAAAGCGACGGCAACGGGAACGTCAAAAAAAGAAATAGGTTGTAATGAGCAAAACAACAACTCTGCACGCTTTTTTGTCAATTTCTTTGCCGCCCCTGCACAACTACGACGTGAAATGGCCAAATTTTAAGTTGTCTTGCAGGGTTGTCATTAAGAGCTGGGGGCCGGGGATTTTCCCCGGCTACTAAGAGAGTGGCCCCCGGCTACTTTTATTGGAAAATAGAAGAAAAACAGGACCAAAAGAAATCCCTAGCCGTTTGATTCCCCGCCTACTTGTTGTATTTACCCGGCAACTTGAAATCTTAGTGACAACCCTGGTCTTGAGAACGGGAACGGCAATGCGATAAATTCTACCATCTTTGTCTGAACTCCGTTGCGGTCCCCTCCAGTTCCAACCTATTTGGTAAATTCCCTTCTTTTACTAAGTAACAGGGCGACTTGGGATAATGGCGAAATTGTTTCAAAGGATGCGAAGTTTATTTTTCAGCAACGTTTTCATGGACGTTGCCGTTGTCGGATCGTAAGGTCCCTAGTTTCACGTCGCAGTCGTGCAAGGACGGTAAAAAACTGTGTAAACAAGCGTGATGCACGTGCAACCGTTCTGACAACCTTTAAAGCTAACAACAGTTTTTTAAAGCTTATGCCAAAGTTGCGTATGTACCTGTTAAATCTTTCATCATGATAGGCATCAGTTATGTTTAGTGTTTCTCCAGTGCTTGCCACATACCCAGCCACACCCTTATTCTTTGGAAATCTGCAGAAAAGCATGGCAAAAAATAAAACAGAGCAAATACCGTGAACTACTGCTTATAACCCCTCCCCACACACACACACACTTGTAAGCCCCCAGTTATAGGACCATCTACCTGTAATTTTCCAAAGTTCACTTTTGTTGTTTGTAACGTTTGATTTATATCGATGCTTGGGAGAGAATTTGTTTGACATGAAGCTGTAATAATTATTTGTTAGTCACTTGCAAGTACAGCCAATGCCCCGCTTTACGGACACCCGCTTAACACAGACACATCTTTATTTCAGACAGTTTGCTTTGTCCCTTGGGAGAAAACGCCCTTAGATTTTCTCTAAATGCAAACCGTTTAGTACGGACACCCCGTTAATATGGACACTTTCTATGACCCCCTCAGTGTCCGCATCAACGGGGTTGACTGCAATTTCTTCGCTTACATTAAGTTCAATAGACAGGTAACTGGGAATATTAGGGAGTTTACACAATTACGTTTTAAGTGACGCACATGAGCTGGAAGTTGACTCTTCGTACTCTAGGGCCATGATTTTGACCAATTTTTCAGTCAAATCGACTCTATGACAGTAAGGACACCAAGCAATACAAATTTGGTCACGTCAAAGCATATTAAAAGGGAAAAGGGCTTTCTTGTGGTTGACGTGCGTTGCTCAAAAACGCCTTTGCGTAGACTATAAGATTGTATTTTTAGCTTACTAGATTGTAAATAATTTTCAGCTTATAATTTTTAAGATTTTGCTAACAGATTTTATCTTTTTAACCTTTAGCCATTAGTTTTTCTATTCTATATCTATATTATCATCTTATTTGATCATTTTTATTATCATAATTATTCATAATTTTTATTATTAGTAGTAGTATTGTTTTTTTTGTTGTTGTTTTGTTTTTGTTGTTGTTTTGTTTTTTTCCTTATGGCACATTTGAATATATTTATATAGATACTTGCGCCTTATAAGTTTTTGAAATTAATAATTAATTAATTCCACAGCCCTTTTCAGAAAGCTGGTATGTCTTTACCACAATGATTTGTACCTGATCTCCTTTTGCAGATTGGATGACCGGCTATCTTCAAGGCTGCCTCCAATATCAAATATCCTGGCATAAAGTTCATTTGTTCTGCTATCAACAAGGAACAAAGAAGTCCTGTCTGCATCCACCAGTGTTTGAGCATAATTCTTACAAAAGAGAAAAATTATAATAATACCAAAAGTGTTTTCCATCTGCTCTGGTGAAGACGTTTAACAAACAAATCCCAAAACTCAGAGTACTACCTGGTAACGGGTCATAACATCCTGCCACAACCCACACAACGTTATCCAGCTCTATAAAAAACGCAAGATCTCAGCTCATCTAGGCAGAGCTAAAAAATGGAAAGTACGTTATGTGCAACTTTCTACTGGACCACTTTATCCTCGTTCTTCGTCGAAGACGGAAAAGAAATTAAGCTTCGATACTTTGATTGCTAATCTATTTCCTGCGGAGACAGCAAAATTCGTCCAGTTAATTGTCAAGAAACGACTTTCAATTCCTGATTTTGTTGAAAGCCACGGGCACAAGTATGTGCCTGGGAAAGCATTTTATCAGCACACGAAAAGCGAGACGATTAGCGTGAAAAAGAAAATTTTGCTTCAAGAAAAACTCAGTGGCCAACTTTTTGAAGGAAATGCTGTTAGAGAGATGCTGGGTCTGAACAAGGAAACACCGGACTGGAATATACAGCCGTCCAATTTTGATAGACGCATTGCAGAGTTTTACAGAGCGTTTGTCCAGAGCACTTCAGTAAATCGCGCGTTAGTATCCAATACGCTGCTACTTTATGAAATTAAATAATCAAACCTTTCTTTTTCAATCACAAAAACGGTCTTCGAGAAATTGTGGACTGAGTGCCTGCTTGTATTTTAATAAGTAACTTAAATTTTCCGGTTTTCTTAAGCCGGGTCCTCGGTAGTATAGTGGTGAGTATCCCCGCCTGTCACGCGGGAGACCGGGGTTCGATTCCCCGCCGGGGAGGAGCTGAATTTTTTTTCCTCTTTATTTTGACCCGAGCACTTGTGATCGATATTTCTTCCGAAATTTTTGTCTTCACTAAGGTTTTTTCGGTAGAAGTTTAGAAGTGTGAATAAATGTGCCGTATGTTAAATGTGATGTTTTTTAAATTTTCTTGCATTAGAAAACTCCAATGCAAAGGCTACACTCGATACGCATCATTGACCAAGTGCTGGATGTTGGCCAAGTTCTCTTTTTTCTCTCTCTCTCTCTCTCTCTCTCTCTCTCTCTCTCTTTTTATGGGCAGAGATTAGTTCAATAAATATGACAAGAATAAACAAGGCCAATTTTCCAACCTGCGAGGTACCTTCGATCATCTTCAGACAAGTGGCGTCTTGTTATTAAACCACTCTGGAACGATTTGCCTATTGACATTAGATCGATCGATGATGTGAATAAGTTTAAATCTAAATTGAAGACCTTTCTTTTTAAGCGAGTTTATGAACTGTCTTAGGTTTTTTATTTTGTATTTTTGTGACTATGTATATACTGTATACATGTAATGATTTCTTGCGGGCACCTACGGCTTGAAACAAATACGGTTTTTTTTATTTTGTCATCTTATTTTTAAACACTTGAGAGAATTTTCCCTGATAATGTGACTATGTAAAGCAGAGCTCAAGTAGGAAGTTCCTGGTCGGTACTTGTTGAATGTGCCGTATCCAGGGGCCGCCGAGTTCGCAGGGCCGAATGTAGAATAACACTTTTTAAATTCAGTTATTTGCATTAGAAAACTGCAAAGTTGTCAGTACACTGATATAGCTTCCTATCATCAAATTTTCATAATCAAGAGAATGAATAGAATCTTATTAAACCATTCAGGCCAAATTTTTCACGCCTGACGCAAGATCGTCATATTCTTGATCACCATCCCTTACTAATTGCACCACACCTTTATCAACTCGTTCACTGGGCTTTACCTTCGTCTTCAGACAAGGCTTCCACTCTCATTATTTACTTTAGTTCACATTTTTTTATTTTGATCGATCGAGGCTTTGTATGAATGTTTTTTGCATTGGATTTCCTGTTTCTGTTTTTGGTCTTTACTGTCTCCGTAAACGTCCCAATGCAAATCACAACTGTAAATAAAATAAATACGAATACATCATTGACCGTTTGGTTATTTGAAAATCGTGACAGGACGCACAGGTGTCGAGTAGTACCGGCAAGTAGATGACTGAATGTGATCCGCTCAGTTGAATGTTCTTGGTTTTGCACTTTTAATGTTTTTATTTAGCTGTTTTTATTTTTTGAAATGTCAAGATTCACAGAAGGGACTAGGATCGTTTTGAAAGAGAATGTGGTTTTAGGCCATAGCATGAAAATAATAAATAGCAGGCCAAGGGGCCGCTACTTGGTAGCCAAGTGTAAAACGTTTGTAATTGAGTTTACACAAAGCAGGACGTACCAGGACATAAAAAAGTAATTCAGGTTGCATGCTGGTTACTAAAATAGGAAAAACATTGTGTAAATGGTTAAATTTTTGCACTTTTTATTTGAGTCACCACATACCGCAATTTTGAGATTAACGGTTTATTTTTCATGCTATTACGAGGCCAATTTTCGGGACCCGTTATTATCGGGAATTCTACGGTATCAGGCAGATAATTTAAGCTTTATGTACCTATCAGCTATATCTGAGTAAATCATGATGAAAAAATATATTTTCAGACAAAATCGTCAGAAGAGAAAATTTGAAAGCTGTAGGTGTAATGCGTAACCAATCAGAATATATTTGATATAAAGGAGAAATTTGAAAACAGAAATTTTGTTCGCAGTTTGACATTTCTGTGTCGCTAGAACGACGATTGATTTATTAACCAACAAATGATTCAATTTTTCCGTTGAATGTTCCATTTGTAGCTGCTTTTCATGAGTTAAACAGACGCACATCATACAAATTTGAACTGTTGTAAAGCTTAAAGCTTATATCTGAACATTGACAAGGTTAGGTATACATGTAATGATTTTAGGATTTTTAATTTCTTATTCAGACCTTTTTGAAGCATGTAAAGCGCTTAGCACTGAAAAGTATGAGCGCTATATAAATATTTTATTATTATATTGTCTTAAATAGGTACAAGGGACTGCACCTCCCAGCTATTTACAATCCTCTCTTGGGAACACGTAACAACCTTTCTGCTAGAAGACCTCATTTAACATCGCTGATGAAGTTCGAGTGATTCAAACAAAATACTTCATTTGTTTGAAATGTTACTATGAGTTTTGGAATTTGTTTGCTAAATAATAATAACAACTAATTTGAATAGTCACACAACAGAATTCAATAGACGTATATGGTACAGACTCAAAATGGGACCCATGTACAGTAATTCATTCGCCTGAGATAAAAAGACCGTGAATGTACAATGCAGGTGGCAGGTCGTGTTGTGCCTAACCAGCCTGCAAAGAAAGTACTGTCCGATAGCCCGGGGCTAGTGGATTTTGCTATCGGGCTAGTGAATTCTGTTTTTAACTTGCCCGACGGGCAAGTGATGTTTTATGAGGAATTTGAATAACAGAAGAACAAAACGTTTTTGGCGCTAGTTGAAATGACGTCTGGGCTAGTAAATGCTAGCTTCAGCTTGCCCGAAGGGCAAGCTGTAAAAATGATTTTCTTTGCACCTTGCTAACATACTCGAATTCTTCGGTAGTTTGACCAAATTGCCCCATTATTGCAGTAATGTTTACGTTATTTATTTATATTCAATTTATGCATGTTTATGAAATCGCTATTGTAAGTAATTCTTGAATCACTGACTGCTGTAGCCCATGAATCTCCACTAGCCTAAATTAGCTTTTGCTTTTTGTGGGCAGAACTGTGCGTGAATAAGTGTCTTCAAAATACAAAAAAGTCAGTCAAGTACTAACCATAATTTTCATAATGACTGTATCCATGCTGACAATATCTTGAAATATTGACCTAATGAAATAAACCTTCATATTAACAACAAATTATTATAGATTATTATACATGTACATCTTGTGATTGAATTTTTTTCCCTGGCAGTGCCCATTCCTAAGGTTCTCTCATGAGGTGAATGCACACGCAATTGAACTTTGATTGTTGCACAGTTTCGGAAACACTGACAATGTGTCACTTTCATATTGGACAGTGAGTTCGAGTCAGAGTTAAAGAGCCAAAGATTGTCCATACAAAGTCAGAGTGCATGAATATTTGAGATGAATGATAGTACAGCTGTCATAATTACCTTGTTACATTAAGCAGAAACTCTGTCAGCTTCCGATGTCTTTGCATGTTTTGGAACATCTACAGTATGAGAAAAGATCTATTGATTTAGAAATTCTCAATACCTCTTTACTTGTTAGGTTTCTCTAACAACATTACTATTTCCATCTACTTCCAGTTTAGACCCTTGTCCACATAAAATTGCTATTTTCTACATTTGAAGAAGTGCCACACCACCAGCCCACCCAGATCACTTCCCAATAAATAACTTTACTTTAACAAAAGGAGGTTTCATGAGTTGAACAAATACTTAAAAGCCTGAAATTTTAATACAGCATATGAATGACATGAATCAAAACTTACCTCGGCATAATATAGAGATATGCCTCCCCACACAAGATAACTGTTGACAATCTGTAAAGAAAAGATGTATTAATGCTTAACTTTTATAAGAGCATGAACTATTAACAAATTAAAGACAATTGAAAGTTTAAAAGGTGGATTACAAAATTTGAATCAATAAATTACCTCATCATCCTCTTCACCAAATGCTTCATGGCCAAGTCTTCTACATAACTCAATCACACCTTTAAAAATTAAAGTGTAGATGATAGAAATTAATGCATGCCATCAATTTACAAGGCACACTACTGCTACTGCTACTGCTACTGCTACTGCTACTGCTACTGCTACTGCTACTGCTACTGCTACTGCTACTGCTACTGCTACTGCTACTGCTACTGCTACTGCTACTGCTACTGCTACTGCTACTGCTACTGCTACTGCTACTGCTACTACTACTACTACTACTAAAGTTATTGTGCACAACTTACCAACCAGCTCGCCGTTTGATTGAACAATTGGCTGACACAAAACAGACTGGGCTGTACTGTCTACAAATAATAATTTCAAATTTAATATTATTGCCCTGCACATTTATTATAAAATAGGACAAATAAAATAATTTTATTTTAATTTTATTATAAAACCAACAAGGAACAAGAGTTACACAAGTAAGTGTAATGTTACCTTCCAGACCAATTCCTCCAGGGAAGCGTTCATCCTGATAAAGGAATAACAAATTAATTTGAATAATGTTTTAAAAAGGCACTTGAAAATTTGATATCTAAGTAATAGTAGGACAGGGCAATTTCCTAAAGCAGTGGTCCATCCTGACTTGGGCAGGCTAATTCCATTTTTAGGAATAGACCACAACATCCTAACTTACCCCCAACACTTCATTAGTCCTCAGTGGCTTCTGTGTATGAGCAACATAAGCAGCAATTGTAGTTCCTGTCTCAATTTTTATATTTGATGAAGTCCTCCTATAAAGGATAAAACACAGGGAATTATCTCAGTCTTCAGCTTCTTTTCTGACTAACAATTCAAAGGCCCCAACTTCAATTACTGCCCTGACCTCTAACTGAAACTGTCCTTGGTCATCTCAAGTTCAACCACTGCACCAGGGCTGTTAATGGCCAACTGGTTTGCCAATTCTTCTGGCTTTTTGTGTTCAACTTGAAATATTTACATTGTTTTTTTATCCCTGAAGCCCATTTAGGAGGCACGGATAATATAATAACTCATCTATAAAATTGCATTACACGTATTATTATTATTTAATTATTATTGTTTAATTTATATATTATCATTAGTCTAACAATCCATGACAGCCTGGTCATTGGAAACGGGAAGAAGGGAAAATACAGAACACATAAACGCAAACTGTGAATCAATGGAAGCTGAAATCAACTTGAAAGTTATCCCAGCATAGAACTCCTGCTCGAGGGAATCTATCTTCTCAAGACATGTAAAATCAATGCCCCCTCACACAACAAAAAACATCAACGTTATTATATTTATGGGGTTATTACATTGTATTTCTTACCCTTCTGGATGATTAGGGTTATAAATGTACAATGCCTGGAAACAACAAACAGCAGATGTTAGTGTGATTCATAATTATTTTGACAACGAAAAATGGCTGGAATTTAATTTTGATAGTATTTTACTTGTTAGGTAAATTCAAAGTTAAAGGTGTGGGTTGGGCTGGGAAGGCTCAAATGGCCAATGCTTTATCCTTGTTTCAGTAGCATCAAAAGAGTGAAAAAAAATGCAAAGCGAATATATTTTACACAGCTACATACAACCAGTTGAAAAAATACTTTAGACTGTCACAATGCTTTATTTTATGGCTTGACGGGTCTGCTTATGATCTTCCACTACCTTGTGATTCCCCTCCCTCTCTTATCAAAGTTCCTGAATAGGACTGTTGTTGACAGTGACTGACATTTCGACAACATGTGCGGTAGTCATCCTTAGATGTGTGACATAGCAGTGATTTGAAGTAAGAAAGGTCGGTTTTTTGTTGGCATGACTCAACATTTTATCAGCTGGTTGTATCTTTAAAACCAAGGCTGAAGGTTCTGCACTCAGGGAGGGTCCTACACAGTGCCTTGTGTGTTAAATGTAAGGAAAAATTGTAAATATCCCCTCTTGATTGAATCATAAACTCCCTTGTTTCAGTTATGCTGCCTTCATCAGGGAAAGAATGCCTGAATCCATGCAGCATTTACAGGATCGGAGGTGTGCTACATGTATACTGTACTTACCTTTCCAGTTCCATCCACCAGGTACAATGTAAAAGAATCTGCATGACAAGCTAAAAAATATATCAAATTATATAATAATCATCAACTTACTATACTGACAAGAATATACCAGCTTTCACAACATTATGTATAATTACAGCCTATCCCAGACTCCTTACTTTGATGTAATATATAAACCATGAGACGCAGTGTTTCATCACCATGCAGATGAAACACTAAGAAGAGAGTTGAAAATACAACCCACAGCGGAGTGTTTTTGACGAACTTCAAGGTGCTTCATCTGGTGATGAAACACTGTGTTGAATTCATTGATATTTCTTCTCTAACAAAATGATTTTACCAGGAGAAATCAAGGATGCAAAAATGAACAGTTTTTCATCTGATTTCCAAACACTCCTTAAACATTAATTTCCTCTGTATTTTCTTTGTGAATTATTGATAAGTTTGAGAAGTCTAAATTCTACACTAATACTTCTTCATCAATCTATAGTTACTCCAAATACCCTTAAAAGACTAAAACTACAATTTCAATTATATTCTACTGTCTCTCAATAGCATAATGATTTCCGCAATACGTATCCACTGGGCAGTGACTTAGCTGGTGGATATACCAGTAACACTACTCAGTGGTTGAACAATGCAAATAAAGCCTGACAGACTACTGGAGCATGCAGGAATCAACATCAAATCCTTGTTTTTATCAGGTTGGCAGTTGAGAGGTGGATAGTAGTACAGATTGAATGCCTCAAACACATGACCTCAAGGCAAAAGAATACTGTCTTGTGACAAGAAATATAACTCTATGCGGTTTGTACAACTTTGCACAAACAAATTTCAAGGACTTTTCAAGGATTTTTTAAGGACAAATTACAGTTTCCATGGACTAAAGATTTATTCAATAAATTGGCATAACCCCCTTTTGAACACCTTATTGGCTAAAACACATCACAGAGACATTTGCGATGTTATACCTCATGCATCTACTTCAGCCATAGTTGATCATATCATTATTTTTATACTACTTTCTGCAACAACATTTTCCAAATGACTGGACCAGGTATGACTAACTTGCAATTACATCTGAGGTACAGAAATAGCATTTGACAGAGACAGAAATTAAACATTGTTCATGCACAAAAACGCTTTTATGCTACCTGTGAGTTCATTATGGACTTTTCAATATGATCGACTACTAAAATTCAAGACCTTTTCAAGATTGTATGAACCATGCCCTATGTGGGGATAGCTTATCTTTTCATCAATAGCCTGTGTGCAGATGTCTCCTATTACCTTTGTTACACTGGCCCAGAAAAGAAACAAAGGGAATACTAATGAGACATCTCCATGCAGGTGAAAACAAATCAGATCCGTACGAAACAATCCCACAGTCTGAAGATTATAAACAGCCCCTTTGATATGTCTGCTCACCTGATGCAATACAATTGGCCAACTCCATCAGTACCTTCTGCTTATTAGGTGATTGGTGAATATCATTTGTCAACTCTTCCAGCATTTTTTTCTTGTCACTATGTACACAAAACTATGGAAAGAGAACAATATTAATTTTTAAACAACATGTCTCCAGTCCCCCCAAAAAATATTAACAAACTATTCAAACATTTATAAAGCCCACTTAATCAACTCAAATATAGAAAATAATGATATAAAAGTCATGAGAATCATTATTTTTATTTCATCCATTGTTTAGAGCTGTTTGCAAGCAAACTTGCACTTGGATTTTATATTAATTATTCATTCTTTCAAAACAATAAAATATTAATAATCATGTCACTCGAACATCTTGCAGTCTTCAGTTTTGAAATAGTTTGTGTCTGGAAATTATCATTTACCAAGCTGACACTTAAATTAAGACAGTCCCACAGAACCACTGAGGCTAATTTCACTTGCCAACTGAGCCACCAAAGTTCTATTTTCATTTGCCAAAGATCAACATTTACATGCCACAGGCAACAGGCATGGATCCACACCAGTTTCCACCATTTTAAGGAAAGCGGTCAGATTTTTCATAATACATTGTAGGTATATTTTTTAAATAAAGAAAACAAATTCCAAGTTGCAAGGCTTCATCCAAGGTGAATGGAACAGGCCAATAACCTTTAGGGAGTTAAAATCTAAAAAATTTCCTGAGCGAGCACGCCCCCAGACCCCCATAGTCTTAGAAAATTGTGCCTTGTGCCTTCAGTGCTCATTTACGAAATTGGTCAGTATTTATCCTAGATCCGCGTCTGGGCAATCCGACCTAGTGATTTTTCAAGTACCTTTTTACGACCAAAATTAACCATGTCGAGGGTGAGCAAATGGATGATAAAGGAGCTTTTTCCCTTTCTCTTTTTTTTCTTCCACCATCTGTACTTGTCCTAGAAGAATAAGTCTGTAACCAACAGACAGATAGACCTTCCTATCACTTTTTTTCGCGATTACCCCTTGAGATCCAGTTACTTAGAAGAAGAGAATTTGGGTTGCAGCTGAAGAGAAGGGAATGCCCCTGAGTTCAAACAGAGATGGTGGAATTTATCACCTTGCCGTTCCCGTTCCCAAGAAAACTTAAAATTTGGTCATTTCATGCCGTCATTGTGCAGGGATGACAAAGAAATGTACAAAAAAGCATGCTACACATGCAACATTGTTGTTTTGCTCATTAATTAAACTTATTGCTTTTTGACATTCCTGTTGTGGTCACAATCGTGGTTTCTTAAGGTACCTGAGGAGGGGTGCAAGTGTACCTATTGACCCCTCCTCCCTACCCCGTATGAGCCTGAAAAAATGAAAATTACTATCTTCTCCGATATGAAAATTAATGTAGTTCCCCCCCCAATAAAGGAAGAGAGTAAAAGTACTTTTGAGCTGTCATTTACCACTAAAAAGTAAAAAAGTAAATAAGCATTCATTTTCGTGTCGAACATAATTGCATTAATTTTTTTATCTTTGTCGTGAAACTACATATTTCCTTGCTCGCTAAAAAACTGTCATTGGAAAACGTATTTTGATCTTTGCGGCACGGCACCGAACAAGGAAGAAATACAAAGAAAACGACACAAAAGCGTCATCTCTTGAGAGGCGGCAATCAAAAATGTCACTTTTTAATCTGACAAATCCACCGAATCTTAAGCTTAAAATTAAGCTTACGAAAGATTTCAGATTTTAAACTTTTATTAGGCTAGCCACCTACCCTCCATTTCGCTAGTGACGGTCGATGTGGATCTACAAATTAAATAAAAAAAAAGAAAATAGTTGAGAAAAGAAGTCAAGCTTCCAACTGAGCACAGCATTCATTAATTTTGGCTTCATTAACGACAAATCAAATATTACTTTACCGCTTTGTTTATTATCGTCATGGTCGAGGGAATTGGAAGCTTTCTTTGCGCCTTTATTCTTCAATTTTCGCGTTTTCCTGATAAGCCAGCGTTCCAAACGATCTTGATCGACGTGGTTCATAACATAATATTCTAAAAATGATGGATTGGCGCGGAGAAAATTACGTACGGACTCTTCGTCCAGATCTGAAAAGCATGTCAAATGAATTATCTCAGTATAAAGTGGTGGTCTTTAGCGAAAATCGCTCTTGATTGCGAGAAATTCCCCTGCAAAAGTTCATAGAGTTAATTTAGCGAAATAACAATCTCGTTGTAAATATAAACGTAACCTACTCGTAAAGGTACAACAACAACACGTACGGATACATGTAAAGAGAAAACACTTTTAGATTTACCAAGGACTAACATGTACGACTATTTAAACCAAACAATGTTTTGTATCAATCGGTATAAACTACGTTACTAATAAAAGAGAAGTATGACATCGGAAAGCACAAGACATCAAGCAGAAACGGGACATGCATGATATGTCTTACAAGTACAAATGCTGACATATAAACCTTACCATGGCCTCCATTTGTTATTGCTTTTCCTTGGACAAGTGCTGGTCGGAAAGGGCCATCGCCAAAGTTTGCGGTCAGATCTATTTGACTAATATGACCGCCATGGTTATTTGACGATCGGTTGCTAGCATGCCCTTTAACAGCCTTTCCTGACACGGGGGATGAACCATGGCCACCGCTCGAAGCTCGCACGTTGCTCGGACTATGCCTCGAACCGCTAGGTAGAGGTGGCAGGCGACGGTTTCCTACCTGACGTGAAGGACTAGACATTTAGGATTTCCAAGTGGAGTAAATTTTCATGTTGATTCACCGTGTTTTGTCTGCCGAAATAAAGAAGACCACATTTCACGATGTTTATCTTCATCGCTAAGCTTCACTTGCACCTGGTCTAGTCACGTGACCTTTGTAAAATCCGCCAAAAAACAGCACATCCGCTAAAATTTCATTGTATACCTTCGACACTTTACATAAAAAACAATGAGAGAAAATATACACATTTTAAAGCAGCTGAAGCAAAGGCGGGCTGAGACAAAAACCTTTACTCACTACAAAGAAACTAAAATTCGGAAAGATCCTAGATACTTAGGATATGCTATTCAGCAACGGGAGATTTCAGGAAATAACTGAAATGTTATTTTTTTTAATATTTTCCCCTTTATTAGACATCGATTAGACATTATTTTTAAAGAAAACTTGAAGAAAAAACGATCTTGGCAAAGGAAGAAGTACTGTCGACTGCAGTCGAAACATCTCAACATCTCAAGTCGTCTAATCTATGCAGTTTTTATTTGATCGTTCAGGCCCGACCCGTTTCGAAGCAGACAAGCGACTAGGATAGAAAAAGCGACGTAAGACAGATGAAATGGTGGCAATGACGGAAATATTGGTGTGATGAAGACAAGCGCAAATACAAAAGGAAAAAACATGAGGGACAAAAGCTTCTTCCCGAAAATGAACGCCAGACGACTGGCTTAGGAGCAGGGCCTGTATCTACGTCATAGGCCTGTTTCAAATGTCGTGCTACTGGCCGTGCTACTGCCTTGCTAAGCTGGCTCGACGTAGATCGACTGCAGCACGACACTAGCACGATTTACTTTCTGACGTCGAATTTACTTCAGTTGAATAGAACGGCTGTTGCCGAAAACAAAACACAAAAATAAAGAAACGGTTGGGCAAACTTTTAAATGTATTCTAATGTATTTATAATTTATGAATTGAGTTCGGCACAGCAGTAGCGCGACGTTTGAGACCAAGTCGAGCAACTGCCGTGTAGCCCTGGCGGCGTACTGCCATATATGGGCTATATATAGGTATATCTGCCGCTGTGAAGGGTATGGATTTCAAGCAGTTTACTCTGGGACAGGGTACATAAATCAGAGAGTTTGGGTCATTTTCCATGTAAACTGATCAATTGGCTGAAGATTTTAGTTCAGACTAGGGAAACCGGGAATTGCCACTCAAGAATATAAAAAAATCAAATCGGTTTTGTTTTGGCTGGACTGTGCTAGTGACCTCAGTTGTTTCTGGAAAACAGCTACTCTAGGATCGGGATAGGGGGGATTTGGGGAGTTTAGTCTAGTAAAGGGTAGCAAAATTCACATGAACTAGCTCTGGTTAAGGCTAAGGGTTCCAGGGTCCCAGCGGCAAATCCCCACCCAAAAAGACCTAAAGTACCCCCCTGGGCGTGTAACCGGCAAAGCTTGCCGTGCTACGCGGCAGTAGCTCGACTTGGTTTCAAACGTCTCGCTACTGTCGAGCTAAAGTCGAATTTAATTCGATCAGTTTAGTTTGGCACACGGCAGTAGCACGTCACGCCGTTTGAAACAGGCCTTAGGTGGTTTTTTGTTTTGGCATTTGTGGTTCTCAAATTAAGCAAAAGCATCCAACCAAACCGCCTGCTACAAAGGCTATAAGATCGAGGGGCTCCACAATTTCATTTTAGCGTTCATCAAAACCTGTTTGAAATGTAGTGAACTGCTTTCTTTGTTTGGTGCGAAATAAAAGACATAACTAATAATCCGTTGCCTAAAACAAAATGCTTTTAATATAGCCGGTAGCAAGAGCTCAGTTAGTTCTTCAAATTAAACCCCGCTTGATTCGGACACGATCATTATTACGGGCAGTTTGTTTTGTCCCTGGGATAAGAAAACCCCTACATTTTCCCTGAATTCAACCCGCTCTGAATACGGACACTTAACCCCCTCAGTGTCCGTATTAAAGGGGGTTTGACTTTTGGACACAAGAAATCTGACGCCCAGTCTATGGACTATCCCCATGAACTACCCATATGGATTACCCTAAAATGGACTACACCACTGAAGGTTAGAGATTAGGGTTAGGAAACCAAGTGGATCAAGTTTCAGGTCAGTTTTCCCAGTATAATGACCCTAAATGGAAGCTGATTCACCCAGTTTTGTAGCCCTAATCACTAAACTTCAGCGGCATACTCCATTTTAGGGTAATCCATTTGGGTAGTTCATGGGGATAGTCCATAGACTAGAGGTCAGATTTTTTCCCCAAGACCACTCCCTTCCCATCAGTTTCGGGATGGAAGTGGAATCATGATCGTGAATCATGAATGAGTTCAAACACCATACAAAAAAATCTGTAGTCCAAAAACTACTCGGTCTAGCACACAAGCTGTGGATTTTCTCAAGGTCAACTTTCAACAGTCTTGAATGCAAACTTGTGTTAGTATTATTCTTGGTCACAGAGCAATGGCTACAGCATGACACACATTAGTTGTAGTCATTGCTTAGAGTGCCAAACCTCAAAGTTAAAGAAAAATTTTAAATCACAAAAAACACCTATAACCAAAGTAAAATGCTTAATAAGTTGTACTTAAATGCTCACACTGCCACAGGACTATACTGACAAAATCAACTATCAAAACAACATTTCACTTCCATATTTTATTAGTACTGTTTCAGGAGTTTAAGGGTTCAAGGCCAATTTATTACACTACATAAACTTGATTTTCCTTAACAGTATTAGTATAAGTCATTAAGAGAGCATTTATCACTTTTGCATTGCCCATAATACAATTGCTAAGGCCCCACAATTTTGCCAAAGTATTGTTTTTGCTTTCTCTTGGGATGACAACTGTCATAAACTGGAGAAATAGAAAACAATACTTGGGCAAAATTTTGAGGGGTAACCAAGGTGTCTTATTGGTAATTAATCAGTGGCAAATGTGTGAAAATTGTCACCCATAAGGAGCATAGACTGCTTGCAGTCCGCCTTTTTTCTTAAAATCCGTCTAGTTCTCAGCTAGGGCAATTGCAAACCATGACATTATGTTACAATAAGGGATTGGGACCAGACGAGAAAAGACGGGCTGCGGACTCTTTTGTTGCAAACAAACTCTCCGTCAGCCCAGAAACAGAGTAGCCGATTGGCTAGTTTTACAGCTGTTGACAGATCATTGACTGGCCTGTGGTGGAGATGCAAGCGATAAAAATAGTCACGCGTCACAACTAACTACAAACAATTATGAATCCACCGGTAATCGCTTATCTATAACGTTTAACGATATCTCACAGAAGGAAACTGCTGTAAATCTCCTCAAGGGAAAGGAATTCTAAAAGGATTCAAGGCAATCTTACCAGATTTAAAAAAAAGTAAAATTTTCCAGTTGTTTATGTTCTGTTTACAAATCGTTTCAAGTTAATTGGGTTTACCAGTAATTGGTTAATTAAATTACCTTAACTGCTTCGTTGTCCCCAGACAGAACAAAGGAGTCAGCAGTCTCTTTTTTATACTTGGGCTTATGCCCTCGTTTATCGCAGCTCGCGTGCTTGGGTTTCTCTTGAAGTAACTTTGCAAAGAAAAATAAGAGACTGCTCACAGTCTATGAGGAGCACCAACTCCTTTCCCTCACTTCTTAGGTAGCAATTTTCACACATGCTTGTGTATATGTATAATGCCTGCTCTTCTATTGCCAAGTAAAATAAGAACTTTTCATAGTCTACCTCAATCATTATTAGCTCACTTTTCCACTGTTTTGAAAAGTTTAATATTTTCAATAAATTAGGAAAGATCACTGAGGTGGAACAGGGCGCCCTTATTAAAAATGACGACCTTCAGTTTAATTCCTCCTTTAGTGAACACAATGACAATGAAATGGTACGTGATATGCACTTAGTCATTATTTTTGAGACTATCAGCAAAGGAGCTTAGGCATTATTCTGTACAGTAATGTTATGATGATGTCCAAATAACCATGATATGGAAGCACATGCACAGGTCTTAAGAGGGAACAGACGTTATGTGAAACAAAAGCAAACTTACTGACTGTGGTCACATTTCAGAGCTAAGTTTTAATTCAGACGTGCTTATAATCACAAATAAGCTTAATTCTTTAGGCAACTTCAAACTTATGCATTTTGAGATCTCAGTTGATCAGGATGTAATTGATACAAAAAGAAGCATACTTTAGATATCAATTTCTCCATCTAAGAGGTGTAACAAGTAAAATAATATTATTTCAAACTGTATCTAAAGCTTATCTTAATTTGTCAACCACTCATCTGCAAGAAGACAAAGCAAACTATCAGCACATCCAAGTCTGAGAGGGGGCAAAGTGAAGGAAATCCTATGTTCTGATTCATTATGCTCACTTGGGATTGCATGTTTTTTTTTTGTCACAAAAAACAATATTTAATTTAGTTTCTTTTGGCCATCAAAAAAACTACTTCTTTTAATACTGCTTTCCTGTTTACCTATAGCATACAAAAAGAACACAGCAAATATCCTTCCATCTTAACCAAGGAATTGCATGGTCAATAAGAAATATGTACTGTCTTTACAGGTTTTTTTCTTGGTTCAAATTTTGATCACTTTCAATCATTAATCTTATGACTGCAAATAATATTTTAACAAAGAAAGGGTGTATGGAATAAGGCCTTAAGTGACTCCTGATCTTAGGTCAAAATTCTACTTGATTCACATTCATATAAAAAAGCTAAACAAAAACTTTGAGAATTTAGCAGTTTATCAGAAGTCACTTCAAGCAAGCTTCATTCCAGAAACCCCACAGACATTTCCACTGGAGGGGCTGAAGAACAGCCAACACCAATGATCCAAATAAATCAACCTGCATTAATAACATCTAAGTTTGAGTAAAACTGGCAAACTAAATAAAGTTTGTTTGCAAGTTTACCTAATTCAGATAAAGAGCTTTCACATCAGGCAAGTGGTTCAAACATATAAGGCTGAACACCAAGTTCTTGGTCATAAAGATCATCATAATCATCGTAATATTCATCATCATAATCGTCATATTCATCAAAATCATCATTATCATCAGAATCATAATAGTCATCATAATCATCATAATCTTCATCCTCAACATCCAATACACAAAAACCTCTTTGTGGCTTACGATCATCACCAGGG